AATGAGCAAGTATTTTCCTTTTCTCCTCAGTACTGCGATTAAATATAGGGCCTCAGGCCAAGTTAGGCAACCACTCTACCTGAGCTACATCTCCAGCCCCTTTCCTGTCTTTCTTGTATAAACTGTATAAGATAGTTGATGAGAGGAACTTTCTGTTTAGAAAGTATTTCAGCAGAGAAATGAAGAGTGACAGAATATGACCTTCTTGCAAATCTCTAATAGAATGGTTGATCCAAGAAATGATTGATTGATGGCTACTAACATTATAAAAAGAGTAACAACCAGATGATATGTATCTCCTGATGGAAGTATATCACACCACCTATGAAGCAGTCTTTTGAAAAACAGAAAAAAAAACCAAACCCTCAACCTGATCTTCAAGCATATACATTGCCTGCTGTTTACCATGGTAAACACCACCACAGGGATGCAATCAGCAAAATATACACTCAAGAAACGCTGGGACAAACATATTTCAAGGAAAGAAAAAAGAAAGGAAATGTAAAAAAACAAAATTTTAAAGACTTAGATGTAGTATGCAATGTATGAAACCTGACTTAAAAAAACCAATACAATAAAATTAAAATTTTGAACATTCATTAGATACCTCATAATGAGAAAGTGATAAAGGCACTACGTTCATACATTTTGAAAGAGACTTTTTAGAGAAAAATTCAGTAATAACTTTTTAAAAGCTGAAATTTGAATTTAGATAATTGAGACTGATTCAAATATACTTTGCTGTTGATCACCCATAAAAGATACAGTACAATGGTCAGCAGAGCCTGGGAAAGGTACAGGGAAGAGAAGATGCAAAGAAGACCGTTAATAGGTAGAAGGTTGGTCTGGGGTTGACTGCCTAGCATGCACAAGGCCCTGGGTACGAATCACAGTACCACAAAAAATAAATAAAGATGGAGGGATGCAGTTGGACAGGAAGAGCAGCAATGTTCTATGGCACAACTACGTAACTATGTTGATAACAACTGCATATTTCAAAATAGCTAGTAGAGATAATCATGAATATGCCCAACACAAAGAAATGGTAAGTGTCTGAGGTTACAGATATGCCAATTACTCTCATCTGATCATTATATATTGAAACCATGCTTTGAAATCTCACACTGCACCCCGTAAATATGTACGATTACTACGTGTCCATTAAAAATAAATTTTAAGAAAAGACACCAAAGCAGTTCAAGCTTTTAGGCTCTGTTTTTCCACAAGAACCTGTCCTGCAACCATCTTCCCATGCTCCCATTATAAGAAAACCTTAAATAGAAAATCTTTAATGAGATCCAAAAACGAAAACAGGATGGAGGCAAACACAAATCATCCCAGCTTTTCCTCTTACTATCCTATACAGGTCTTGTTTAAGGGGAAAAAAAAAAAAAGACAAGCAATCAGCCTGATCCACCTGGCCCTAAGAGATTAAAGATTGCTCCTCCACACACACAATAACCGAAATTAAAGGACAGGGTGAAAAGCAAAAACGAATAACGTTCTGCCTTCACACAGCACCTTAACTTTTTAAAGTTCTTTAATATAAATGTCACTTATCTTGGTTGATCTTAACAATTACCCTGTAAAAGGCATAGGAGGAAAATTTAATTCCTAGCAGAAATTAACACAAAGAGATCACAAAATTAGTTAGTAGTGCTTCTTCCACTAACCTGTTCTCTTCCTCTCCAATGTGGTTTAATTATTTAGTCTAAGAGAAAAGCCACTAGAGTTATAAATACATGATAAAAAGGGCTCAGAAAAGAGTTTACTGACAATTTGTTGGTTGCTCCATGCTGGACAGTTCCAAAAATTTACTTAACAATTTGAACAGCTCAAAATAGTCTGGAAAACTCAAAAATGAGATTTTTTTTTTCCCCTATCAAAAGCCATTGATCCTTGAAGAAAAATATCAAGAACTTAGAAAAGTTTACCATATATTTGTGTATATGTGCATGTCTTAGAAGGTAGATAAGAGAAACTAACATATTAGGCAAGGACTTTCTTTTGTTTTCCCACTTAATGAACAGACGCTTATCCCATTTATATAAATATGTCCCAATTTCAACTGGAAGGACAGACTCAGAATCCTCAATACACAATGTGAGAACTTGTTGTGTGTGAATAATAGAATTTAAAACAACCCAGCTTCTGTACTTTTGGCCACATGTGATTCTGCTCCAGGTACTTATTTTGAATCACCAAATATCAGTACAGGAGTGGATCCAGGCAAGCTTAAATCTGGGGCTAATGCTACACCTAGCAAACTTTCAGCTTATCTAGTTTCACAGTGAACACAGTGTGCTGGGAATGTTTGCTCCAGTGACATGCTCCTAGCAACAGATGGCAGATACATATCCAAAGTTCCTGAATCAGTAAAGGGACCAAAGCAGAGCTTTACCAGCGCTAGGAGCGCATGTTGTGTTATCCACCGAACTTTCATGTCCCTTGCTATCACAGAAAATTTACACTCTTGTGGACTGGGGGGGGGGAGGGGGGAGGGGCGGGCAGGGGCATGGCTCACGTGGCAGAGCTGGGTTTAATTCCCAGCACCACCAAAAAAAAAAAAGAAAGAAAGAAAACTTATACTCTCAAACTGTGTTAGTCTGTAGTGTCCCTGTCCTGATGTAACAACCATGCAATAAGCAACTATCCCCAACTTCACTTCAAATCACTGGAAACTACTTCCCACTTAAGGGCTCTCCCTATAATGTCTGAAATTCAAACAGAGGCAAGCCCATTGCCAATAAAATATCTAGATTCCTGGGCATATTTGAGAATAGGGAAGAGAAAGCCTACTATGCCATTGTTATAAATACCCCATAAATCTATAATTAAGGATACAAATTCATTTGGGGCAAATATATTATCCTTCTAGTAATTCTCTCCAGATAATTTAGAATCAGAATTTGGAACAGAATTAACATCTGCAGATCACCTACTGCATAGCACACATTGTGCTAGCTACTTTCCAAGTCTCTCATTTAATCCTAACAGTCTCTCCAGATTCTTCATTATTATTGCCTTTTCACAAATTAAGGAAACAAGATACCCAGGCACTGGTGGCTCACACCTGTAATCCTAGCTACTCAGGAGGCAGAGATCAGGAGGATCATAGTTGGAAAATAGACATTGGGAAAATAGTTTGTGAGACCCTATCTGAAAAAAATCATAACAAAAAAGGGCTGGTGGCATGGCTCAAGTAGTAAGAGACCTTCCCATCAAGTACAAGGCCCTGAGTTCAAACCCCAGTGCTGCCAAAAAGGAAAAAAAAACAAGGTACAGAAATGTTAAGTTGCCTAAAGTCTTAAACCTACTATATGGCAAGGTCAAAAGTTGAATCCATGCTTAATAAGAAAAAAACAAACAGTCCTTTACCACTCAGAGAAAGATGAGTCTTACACTCTTTTCTTCAAAAACATTTTATTAGATCAACATAGAAAATAAATTATGGGATCATGAAATAAATAAATAAAAATCGATGACAAAAGGAAGTTGAACCCAAATCAGTATAAACATCTTTATGACTTGTTTCTTACTATGTCATTTGTTTTCCAAAGGAGTTATGATTTAATGATACCAGAAATAAAGGCATTTCTAATTCAATTTTTTGGCAAGAAAATAAAAACTACCATGCCTGAAGCCCACTTACTACATTCAACCAATACCCCTTTATCATTTATCCTGATCTGACAGTTCATACCAAATCTCTCTTCTGCATGATCAGAGGAAAAGCAGAAAATGTTTTGTTCAACCTTCATAGTATCTCCAAATACTTGGGATATATAAGATGCCTATCATGTTCCCAAACCTATGAATAATCTTTCTTCAAGTTTTCCCAGAAATTGGTATTATTCCACCTCAAAATAATGAATGTTTTGAGCTTTACTATAAAATGAAAGATTCTAAAATCTGTAGGCTTCCATTTGCTGAAAGTACTGACAGATTAAAGACTAAAGTATAAAACATTCTTTTTAAATTATATTATGTGGCCACATTAATGAGAATATGGATAAATGATTAAAAAAAAAAACCAAACATGTCACTTATAGTGTATTCACTATGCGCCAAGTACATTATAATGCATTTCCATTGTGTATAAAAAAGCCTGGGTGGTCACTGTTAGCCTTATTTTTCATAAGCAAACTATGGTGCAAAAGTGCATATAACAGGTTCGAGTAAACACTGCTAGAAAGTGCTAGAGCTAGAATTCAAACACAGGGTGTCCAACTCCCACGCCTATCCCCGTAGCCACCACTGTTTACTGCCTCCCAGTTCTTATGGTAGATACATACTTGTTCTCAATTCTTAAACTGTTACAGATACACATATATGTATTTAAACCATTATTAACTACACCCATTAATGTGTCATAGTTTCTAATGAAGAATTCTTAAGAAGTATCTCAAGAATGAACATTGGAAAAATTCAATTAAGGCAATGAAACTTTCATAAAATTCTGAGAAGAGTAGATAATTCATGTAACAAAATTTCATGCTTGGGAGTTATTCTTAAATAGATGTGAACATGGTATGGCCAGGAAATCATCTTGAGTATTTAAGACAATTCAAATACTATAAACCTGTTAGAGGGAATAAAAGAACTTTTAAGAAAAATCACATTATATTCAATACTTAATGACTGAACTGCACTTTTTATATTCTGCTCTTTATTCAAATTTTTTTATTAGTTGAATAACAGAGATGTAATTGCATCATAACTGGGACAATTTTAAACTTCTGAGTAACTATTATCTCTACTGCTTCAGTGTTTCATATTTCTTCGTAAAAGTGTAATGGCTAAAAAAAAAAAATGAATCAAGAGCAGCATTCCCCAAATGTGAATTCTCTGATCTACTAAAGTATGAGCCAAAATATATATACATTTTCAAATGGTACAAGATACAGTTAAAAATATCTTATTTTCCTGTTGTTTATCAAACACATCAAAATTGTTGTCAGGACAATGTAAGATATGTCAAAGAATGGATCAAATCTTACCTCCATTGCTAAAGCTGCTGTCTGTTGGTCATAATGGTTCAGAAGATTAGGCATGAAGGTAGTATTATAAGGCAAATCTTGGCACATCCTTAAGGTAATAGGTTCACAAGAAAATAAACTGTGCCCATCTATATGCCCCATAAACACAGTCAAGGGCCAAAGATAGAAAACGATCCAAGTCACTGCCATTCTTCCTGGATGTGAATGAGAGCTGGATGATCAAGCCTACTCAATACGTATTTTAGATCAATATACACCTGCAGGTCTCAGCTTGACAGCACTTCTTCTGTAACACTGCTAAGTTCTTTCAAACATTAAAATGCTCTTTGCACTGTCAGAGGTTTCTTAGCTTGGTCTCACAAAAGGCATCTGTTTTTGGTTTCACAATATGGGAAAATGACATCATCTTGTCTCTTCTTTTCATTTTATTACATAGGGCACATCTGGCCAACATATCAAGTTGATCAACCACATTCCCAAATCACAGATTCCATCTTAGGAGAAGAACTATTTCTTCCTTGATTGAAGTATCTGAAAAGTATCATTAATAAAGGGATAAATTAGTGTTTCCTCTTAAAATATTGTAGACTTGACATTAAAATCTTTGAAGAGACATCAAGCTGACCTAGTAGGTAAATACACGTGTATTTCAGTAAGGTACAATATAATTTTTCTAGCTTATCATTTATGCTATAGATATGCTAAAATAGTCCTTAAATAGCATTTAAAGACAAATTTAATATTCTTTTCTCTGTTGCTTATATAATGCATTAACTCCTTATCTATGAAGGTAATTTTTTATATGCCACAAGATATAATTGATTCATTTTGAAAAATTCTTATGCTTTTATCCTAAACTGTATTTAAATATTTGTTGTAGCAGAGAAACTAAAGCAGATACCTTAAAAGCAACTGAGGCCAATAGGAGAAGGGGACCAGGAATTAGAGAAAAGGTTAGATCAAGAATTAACCTAGAAGGTAACACACATGCACAGGAAATCAATGTGAGTCAACTCCCTGTATAGCTATCCTTATCTCAACTAGCAAAAACCCTTGTTCCTCCTTATTATTGCTTATACTCTATCTTCAATAGAATTAGAGATAAGGGCAAAATAGTTTCTGCTGGGTATCGAGGGGATTGGAGGGAGAGGGAGGGGGTGGGGGGAGGGGGGAGAAATGACCCAAACATTGTATGCACATATGAATAAAAATAAATAAATAAATAAATAAATATTTGCTGTAACCTAAATGATTGAATTAAAAACTTCTTACATGTGTTTTAGTCATTAATAGTACATTTTCTCATTGATTTGGCAGAAGGCATATGTGAAAGGTTGAAAAATAAACCAAAAGACAGATGTAAGCCTCTTACTAGCTGTGTGAAAATAAACATATCACTTACCTTCTCTGAACCCATAATTTTTCTTCCTGAAAATGATTCCAATCACCACCTTTCTCATGGGATGATATATAAATAATACTTGCAAAAGTATTTTATAAATGGTAAAGGAATATCAAACATTAGGTATCTTTATTCCTGAATTACAGTTGATACAAATGCTACTGAACTGACAAACAGAAGGTTCTAAAACTAGTAACAGGAAATTTCCCCAACATTTTAGACAGCACAAAATGTTTAGTATCACATTTGCAGCCCTTGAATTAGAAACATTTAACTACATAGTCAGGCTGCACAGAGAATACAAATCATTCCTGAAAACTCATAGCAGGAGCAGGAACGATTGCCAAGTATCATTTCACTGAACTTTAGAATCTATAACTTGCTCCTACTTTTGTAGAGGAGTCGGAGCTGTAAGCATGTGGGTAAAGAAGACAGGTCTAGTATATTAAAGGCATATTCTAAGGTATCAATTGTATTTAGGTTTAGTAATGATGTTATCTTTGCTTATACTAAATTTTGTTTCACATACATTGGATATTCTTGGATTTGTTGTAGACAGCCTAGGTTAAGAAACATCCCTACAACCCAGGTCTTAGAAATCTGAATCCTGGAGAATGACATGCAGTCTGATAAGTCCCTCACGTTACAAGTCAGGTCTTAAGAAAGGAATAATAAAAAGTAAAACTATTTACATATATAAATATATATTTGCATATGATAATATACAACAGAATGAATTTTAAAAATAAAACCACATAAAGAGTAATACTTTATGGGCTTGGGTCATGGCTGAAGTGGTAAAGTGCCTGCCTAGTAAGCACCAGTCCCTGAGTTCAAAAGACCAAAAAAAAAAAAAAAAGGAATAATACTTGAATAGGAAAATGGGCAAAGGACAAAAATTTGCAGATGAAATATATGTAGCCAATAAACACATGAAAATCAATTAACTTCACTAATAATAAAAAATACAAACATGAGATAACACTTTGCCAAATCAGATAGGCAAAAATAACAATGACAGAACACAGTACAGGATAAGACACAGGGAAAAGAACATTTTCAAATACTTTGGGTAAGAATGTAAACTAGCTTATACTTTTATAAAAATAGCCACTTAGAGCAAAAGCCCTTAAGTTGTTCACAATTTGATCCAGCAAATTTATTTTAAAATTTATTCTGGAAAGAAACATAGAAGTACACATTTTATGTAATTAAAATATTGGCATAACACTATTTGTAACAAAAAACAGGAAGCAACCTAAATCTGCCATTAAGGGATTAGCTAAATAAATTATGGCATAATGGAATACTATGTAGTCACTAAAAATGATGAGCACGGGCAGGTGTTGTGGTACACACTTGTAATCCTAGTTACTTGGGAGGCAAAAGCAGTAGGATCCTGAGTTGGAGGCTAGCTGGACAAAATTAGGGAGACTGTCTCAAAAACAATACAAAAACAAAAAGGCTGGGGGGGGAGTCTAGCTCAAGTGGTAGAGTGCTTGCTTAGCATGCACAAAGCTCTGGCTTCAATCCCCAACACTGAAAACAAACAAAAAAAAAGGTTGGAGATGTGGCTTAAGTGGTAGAGAGTTTCACTAGCATGCTGGAGGCCCTAGGTTCAATCCCCAGCACCCCCTCCCAAAAAAAAATAAGATGATACACACTCACAAAACAACCCACCTCATTTTTGTCAGGAAAGCATACATACATAGAATATAAAAAACTACTTCAATTACTTAAAATAATATAAATTCTGTATGGAATTTTATAAAAGAACTGTTATATTATTTGACTCTGCTAACTATATAAAATGTCTATTGATAAAAATAAACACTAGTTGAATGGTTTATTGGTTGCTAATTAAAGCAAACAGTCAAGTGATGATCAATTTAGAATGATTCAAAACTAGATTTCAAAACTGAAAAAAAAATCAGATCACCTATGAACTGAAACAAATGGTATGCACACTGAAAATTTTCAAACTTCTGATATACATTCCAAATTGTTCTCAAATCATATAATGAAATATCTGTTAATCAGGATGGGTGTGAATGTGCCATTTTTCCCAAGGGTGGGTCCTTCATGGAAAACTCTAACTCAAAATTCCAGACCTACAGGACGTATGTAAGATTCTAAACTCAAAAAGAGCTTGCCAAAATATAGCATTTCATTAAATAAATGTTAACAATTGTTTTGAGCATTCATATTGATATTATCATACCATATACTATTAGAGGAATCTGTAGCATTTTAACTACTGGGACCTGCTGGGTTAACATGCTGATGAGTGAGCAGTTTCCAGTACAGGCCTAGACAGAGTGAATGCTATGGTAGTGGCTCCTGCACTATCTGTGGGAAAAGAACTGCTTTCGCTTCTCCACTGAGCAATAAAAATATTTGGAAAACTGATTTTAAGTTACTTGCTACATTCTATAAGAAAATAAAAAGGTATAGGGTTGGAGTGTAACTCCATGGTAAAGTGCTTGCCTAGCATTGTGTGAAGCCCTGAGTCTGAGCCTGGGCACTGAAAATTTATTTAAAAAAAATAGAAAAGAAAATGAAAAGGTCTAGATACTTTTAAACCTTCTCCACATTTCTATATGTATGGATGTACAGCATCAGCCATCTGCCATTCAATTATTTGCCAGTTTTCTTTTGATGATAAAAAGTAAAAGTCCTTAAAATAAGATCAGCTAAGTAAGTGTCCTGAAAGACAACAATATAAATGGACAGGATACAACTTTGGAAGACTGTTTTTCCAGGCTATCACCAAAGTCAGACCCAAAGAAATCAGGTGAGAAAAGCAGACTGAATCCCAGAAGAAACTAAGAGAAAAATGGGCCCAGCAGCAAAAGATCGTGGTCAGCAACTCTAGTCCAGGACTTTCTCAACAGGGATCTGTCCTATTATTCTCAGTTAAATTTAATTTTCTTAACACCCATAAATACAGGTAACATGTTGCATTTCCAATTCAGAAATAACATCTAAAGGCTGTCTCAAAGTAAATGCTGAATACACAGGGGCTACAGTGGGATATTCTTCAGCCTTTCAGACACATTGTCCAAGAATGCACTGCAAGGATTAGCAATGACTATCTCTAAATAACAGTTTCTTCTCGGAAAGAAATGATCCTCTAATTAGAGAGGTAAAATATACACTCAGCATACTCATTCCTTTTCCTAAAGCCCATGTGGTCTTTGGCCTGTATTTTTTCCACATTTTATTATTTTAAAAATAAATTCATTCTCAAAATATTGCCTCCTGGCTGCTATTAAAAAAGTTTATGTGGCTTCTTATTTAATTCATAGGACCTAGATTCCTATTAATCACAGAGTGTCTCTTTCTAACCTTTCCTACTCCAGCTCAATAATTTTTAAACTCCATCTTGTCATCTACTGATTACAACAAATACTCTAATCTTTCCATGTGTAGAGTGATAACAGCTTAAAAAAACACAGAAAAAAATACGTCTAGGTTCAGAATTAAAATGAATGTTAAGCATCAAAATTCAGTCCAGGTTACAAATTATTAAATAGTAAGACTAAAGAAAGCATAAGCTCTTTTTAACATTAACTTGGAAATAAAACTGGAAATTAAAAGCCAGATAGATTCTGGAATTAAAAAAAAAAAAAAGGCTGATATTCCAGCCCAGCTTCCCTTTCCAATTAAAATCTGCTGGACAGAAAATTCCCTGAATTTTCATCAGAAAATATCAAGCCCCTGTTTCTCTCCTTAAGAAGGTCGTATGGTTTGTATGCTTTGACTACAGAATTATTTCAGTAAGATAAAATGTGGGGACCAGAATTTGTTTGTTAAATTCATTAACGTAGTTATATACAACGTAGGCATCTGAAACTTCATATACAATGCATTTCTTGGATCAATAAAACTATCAACAGTTCTCAGCATGATGAATCAGAAAGCCAAGGCAGAGAATTCACTTTTGACACAACAGTTAAAACTCTTTCCTAGTCAGTGAAGAGCTGGGCATTTAGTCCTAGCCTATAGAAACCCCAGTACCAAAAAAATTCATTTTCTTTCCTCAGGACCTTGCTACACATCTTCCTCCCACTCTATAACAAATAATTTTTCCAGTATGTGTTCTTGAAGCCATTCTTTTTATTTGCCTTATTGCTCTTTTTGTGCACAGCTGCAGTCTTAAAGGAGGCATAATTCTAGAGTGGGGGGTTAAAAAAAAAAAAACTAAAGCTAACACCACTTTCCCCTGTGAAAGGTAAAGGGTGACAACTTTTTCCAACCATCTGTCTTCTAAAGAAAATAAAATCAACAGCAGCCTAACATCAACAAACTAATATATTCCAAAATTTTGAGTATAAAATCTTAGAGTTTTACTAAAAAACTAATATAAGAAGTGGGTTGAGTAAATATTTTCCCCACAGGTTAAGAGGGAAATAGACAATATATTGTGAGAAAAAAAAATTCCTCTCCTTCTCAGATAAAAGCTTTCATACTGCACCATAGAATGTGCACTTTGCTATTAAATTCCTCGAAGTCCTCTCTATTCAAATATCTCAATCATGAAACTCATTAGAAAAAGCCACTTAAATACTCAAATCACAAAATAAAGCTCAAAGAAATACAGTAGTTCAGATGAGGAAAGGAATCGAAGTGCCTAAGAGCCTGTCATCATTTCTTCTTTTATTGATAGGACACTATTAGCTCTGAGAGAGAGGGAAAGAGAGATTGTAGTGGATGCTGGAAAGAAAACAGGATGGTAGGCTTTAATCAATAATTTTCTTATTTCCCTAAAAGCTTCAGTGTGTGTGTGAGGGGGGGAGCCCACACGTTGTTTTACTTCATAGGACAACATGGTAAGAGAAAGGCTACTCTTGGTTTATTTCACCTTCAGCTCTATCCTTCCGAGCCCACTCAATCAAACATTTACACTTCTTTTCCCGACTTCCTAACTCCCAATCTTTCCACCTTCAGGTTGCAATGTGCAATTCAGATAGATGTTTTATGTGTCCTGGAGAATAAAGATAATATTGATTTGTTTAAAAGCAAGGATGGAAAGCCTTATCTGGAGTACCTGCTTCTGCTTCTTCATAAGAGAACTAAGGACTTATTTCTACCTTTTCCGGCCTAGAATGCCACCAGCAGAACACTAAGGGCTAAGGAAGGTTGGAGGAGGGAGGGCACTCCTCAATGTCAGCCGGGTCTTTGTTTCCTTGCTCCTAGGGATTGGCTTTGCAGAATAACCCAATCCCACTAAAGACATCCCAGGTCTACGAAATGACTTTTCTAGCCTAAGATTTTTTTGCAATACTTTATGCATAGCAGTCCCGATGTGGCCGGTCAGCTTTGCAGCTGCAGGTACCAAAATTCACAGGGGACCCAAATTTCAGATTTTCATTTTACACTGTGCACAACCCCCAGACCTCTAATGTTTTTCCACTTTTAAGTGTCCAGCTCTGCCTAAATTAATGGGATGCGCTTTTGTGCAACCCCCGCCCCCTTTTCTTTTTAAAATAAAAATAACCCTGCTTCTTACAGGAGGTGGCACCTAACTCCAAGTGTCCTCAGACGTAAAGCTTCTAGGACGATGTTTACATTTCTGCAAATGACACAGCCTACCTAATACTGCTCGCCATCCGAGCGCCTGCGTTTCAGAGGCCGCGAATTCCTGCTCCGGCAAACGCACCTCCCGCGCAAGGGGGGCGGCCGGGGGAGGCGGCCACCGACTTTGCAAACTGATGGGCTGCAGGGGACAACTTTTGGGCACGGGACAAAAAGGGTGAGCCCGGTGGTGCAAAGAGCCGGGGGCTGGGGAGAACCGCCCGGCTCGAGGGTCTCGGCCGCCGGGACGCATTGTCTCGCACTCACGCCCCAGCGACGCGGGGCAGGAGCCGGCTTGGCTCGGCCGGCCCGGCCCGGCGCGGTTCGGTTCCGCCCGGCGCTCCCGGCAGGTGGGGCTCACCAAAGGGGCCCGCCGCGTCCACGCTCGCACAAGTTGCCCAGCGCGGCAGGACCGAGCCGGTTCCCCATCTCCCCGGGGCAGCGCCCCCATCGCAACCCCCAGACCCCAAACTCCGCGTCGCCGACCCCCTGAACCCTCCCTCGGGCCCGTCCCACTCCCGAAGAAGCCGCTCCGACAAACCCGGCACAGCCCGGCGCCTGAGGCTTTTGTTTTGGCCGCGACGAGAATAACGATCCCTGAGGAGGAGGTGCCCGGGTTGCTGGCAGCTCCTCGGCATGGGGTGAGGCGGTGCAGCAGCTGCCGCCGCGGCGCCTCCTTCTCCACCCTCGCCGCTGCCTTTCCCGCCCACCCGTCTAGGGGGTGGAGGGGCGCTCGCTGGTCGTGGGGCTCACCTCACCCCTGGGCGCCCGGTCCCCAAGGGCTGCTGCGCCGGCCGTGCGTGCCTCAGGTCCTCTCTCCGAGCGGCAGAGGACCGCCGGCGCGCGCCTCCGAGCGACCGCGAGCCTCCGCGAGCGCCGGGGCGCGCGGCCGCGGGGAGTGGGGGGCGGGGGGCGGTGAGGAGGACGTACTGCGCAGGCGCGTTGCGCACGCTCTCATTCGGAGGCCGGCCGGCCGCGCCGTGCGGCTGGGTGCTCCGTTGTTCTCCGCCTCGCGCCCCCGGTGACGCTTTGATCTTCTCTGTCCCGGCGTCGTGCTTCCGACGGCTGGAAGCATCCATCTGAAATGCGCTCGGTCCTCCTTGCAAAGCGCTCCCTCCTGCGTACAGCTCGCCACTTCTCAAGCCCCCGAGGCTGTTACTGCAAGACCACCAACACCTGCGCCGGCAGCCAGCGTGCCAACCTCCGCCCCCCCCCACCCCCTGGACTGGAGGTGGTCAGCAGGCTGGGCACCGTGCTGAGGGTGGAATTGGGCGCAGGTGTGTATTTGTGGGGACGCCTGGCCTCTCGCAGCGCTGCACACTAAAACAAAACAACAGACAGGAACAGCGTCCTCGCCCAGAAACAGTTTATGTCCGCCTTGCCAAACAGGTGGAGCCCGTGGTTACTGATGGCACGCTCCATCTTTTGCTCCTTAGAAAAGGTATCCCTCTCCTTTTCTACAAAAACGACTTCAGAGCTGAATGAGTCTTTAGAGATCATTTAAACAGAGTCTCGGGTTTTCCAAAGGGTAGGAAGAACGCCCAGAAAGGTTACCCAAAGCCATACAGAGTTTTAATGACAGTCTGGTTCATTCAAAGTCATGACTGCTTTTACTTTTACAAAACACCATTTTACTTCTCTTTTTCTTTTCGTCCCTCAGACTTAGGGGACATCGATCTTGTTGTACAAGTGAATGTACATAACAGTACTGATCTGGACACTTTATTAAGTGATGCTTCTGGGCGGGTGGCTCACGCCTGTAATCCTAGGAGGCAGAGATCAGGAAGATCGTGGTTGGAAGTCAGCAAGGGCAAATAGTGCCTGAAACCCTATCTCAAAAAAAAAAAAAAAAATCACAAAAAAGGGTTGGTGGAGTGGCTCAAGGTGTAGGCCCTGAATTCAAGCTCCCACACCACACACACACAAAAAAGACTGATGGTAATTGTTGTTATGCATATTTTACAATTTTTAATTCATGTATTCACATGTGCGTACATTATTTGGGTCATTTCATATTTTACAATTTTTAAAGGTGATCAGATCTTAAGTAAATATTGACGAGTCCTGCACTTAAACATGATTTCACTCACAAGGTGAGCTGCTATGAACAAGCTGAATGAGGTCTGAAATGACAGTTTCCACTTTTCTAATAAATACTTGTGCAGCAATGATTTTCTTTTTTAAGTAAATGTTGATGGGCTGATGGAGTGGTTCAAGAGGTAGAGTGCCCGCCCAGCAAGCACAAGGCCCTGAGTTCAAATCCAGTATCACCAAAAAAGAAAATGATCCTTAGATCAATTGTGGGCAAGTCATTGTGTCCTGGAGCCCCAGCAGTGCCTCTGCTGAGGGTGAAGGAGGAGGCAGATAGCCTTTGGGAAACTCTCTGTGTGCCTTTATGTATTTCCAGATCCCTTGTGGCTCAGGAACTTCTGGAGGTGTGCTGCTAGGTGTATTTTTATTCAATTTACAGTACACACTGCCAAGTACAGCAGGCATCACAGCTCACATCAGGAGGTGGGAAAGATGTAGAAATGATCACAAATGTATTGGCATGACTAAATCTCAGACATACAATATTAAGTGAAAAAGCAAAGTACAAGATATATAAATGATAGTCCCACTAAAAACTAGAAAGTGTGTTGTTTATAAGGATAAGCGTGACAATGATTGTCCACAGTCAGGCAAGGAGGAAAATATCCAGAAGGGGTTTCTACTTTATCTGTTCAACACACACACGAAGCAAAAGTTAACATTTAAAAAATCTCTGTAGAAATACAAGATGTTTCTTATTTAAGTCTAAGCTTTTCTTTATGTGTGAGTTGTTCCATTAAAAGTAGTGCTGAAGTATCACAGACATCGGGCGTTGTGTGGGCAAGTTAGGTACTCAGTGGGAATGGTGTGACTTACTCCCCTTGCTGGGGCGAAAAGGGTAGGCAGATGGATAAGTTGTAGGACAGGGGAAGCCTGGAAGGCACTGTTGAGAGCAGAGATAAAAGGGGCTTTTAACATGGATAAAGATACTCAGATCCCACAGGGATAAAGTGAGATGGTCTGTCCCACCCCACTTTCCTTCCATGTTGTAACCACCAATAGAAAGTCGTTAAAGAACGGGAACTTCACAGGAGATGCACTGCACTCTCTGACATTGTTAAAACTGGTCACTTTCTGGATGAACCCGTTTTGAAACCATAAATGTTAACTGGTAATGCATGGTAATTTAGTATTACAGCTCCATACCTCTCCCAGGCTGCCCCCTCACACCTCCAAAGGCTTTGTTTATTCAATTACATACAACCTGGCCAGGTGGAAAAACCACTAGGCTGGAATTCAGACAACCTAGGTTCTAATTTCACTATAGCCACTTGGGGATCCTTTGTTAACTTAGCTCTGCTTTCCTTTTCCCATTTAAATTGAAGATCTACAAATGGTGCCTATTTAAAAATCATGAAACACGATACAAACATAGCATGTGTTCATTTGCTTAGGTTGAAAGAGCAGAAGTTATTTTAGGAAACAGAAAAATTGTCACTGGTTTTTTTGAGGGGGAGAGTTCTGGGTTTTGTTTTTCCCTTTTTTTGGGTTTGTTTTGTTTTGTTTTGTTTGTTAGCTGCTGTCCATAAAAACTGCTTTGCCTTGGTTGAAGAAGCTCTGATCTGGAATTTTGAACTTTGTGGGTTTCTCAAGCACTTGCTTGTAATTCTGTCACAGCTGTTAGAACCTGGATCCTTCCATGAGTTGTGTACACATTGTACACATTGCATCTTCCAGTTTCCCTCATTAAATCTTTTTTATGCTTGTATTCTCATTCTAGTCCTTAGTACAAGGTAGATAGATGGTCAATTAATTAAATTAGACTCAATTTTAAGAGACCCAAATTCAGAATTATTCTTATTAAGGCATGCCATCTGCTGGTTCTCTGATGTGTCTATCGTTCAGCCTGAATTTCATAACCCAATATACTGAAATTCGTGGTGAAGCATTTGTGTGTTTATATTTTGGGCAATTTCCCCACATCTTTCCCTTTCCTGCTGCAGGTGCAATTCTTCCATTGAATCAGTCCCGGATTCTTTTATTTATTTTTTTCCTCCAACTCTTTTACCTTTGGCCACTCTTAAAACCTGGCAAAGTGGAGTTTGCATTTCGGAGCTCTGGAAGGACCTGACCAGAACCATCTGACTGGTCATGCTCAGTTAAGGAACCGCTGTTTTGGAACACAATGTCAGCATGTCTTGAAGAAAGGTTTTCCCCGCTGATTGTTTCAGGATTCAAGAATCTTCATCCTTGCATTATGCTAAAACAATGCACTCTCCCATCCGCTTGATTCCCACACCTTTTCATTTTATCCATCTGCCTAATTTTTGGAGCCAGCCCTCCTGGATATCCCGGCCAATCAAGACACCACACATTGTTGCCTAAGAGACCCCGATGCCAGGGACAGGATTTATAGATAGTGATTGGACTCCTGGAGCTGGGAGGGGGAGGCGTTGGAAGGAGCCAAAGGAAGAAGCTGACCTAGTGCAACTATGGCAACCCCAGCGCTAGAGGCTTGAAGAGGGACCCCAGTAAAAAGAGGTAAGAGTTGTGAGCAGGGCATGAAAAAGACACTGTCTTGGAAAGCTCCTGGGCCTCCCACAACCTTGTCAGTGCTTCTGGGGATGACATTTTCCTGTCCTAGGTCAGCTTCAGTGCAAGTGCCAGGTGCTTCTTACTTGTGAAATTAATAACTAGCAAATAGTTCCATGCCCATGAAGCACCAGCTCTTTGAGATGTATTGTGGTTCTTCCTTTGATTTTAATTAGCTGAGTGTAAGATGAATTAGTATTTAAATCTTACCCATACTATTTCCTGATAACGTCCTGATAATAACATTCGAGAATGCTTTGTGTAAAGATACTACAGTGTACGGTGCATGAATTGTGTGTTAGCAGAGAAACTGTTCTGCTTTGTAAACTTCAAATAAAATCCAGTAATCTTCAGCATTACTGCAGCGCCCAGTTCGTAATGCTCTGGGGGATTTGCTGTGTGTTTTCACTAGTTTTAACCTTTAAGCCACTCCCCCTGCACTGTCCTGTTCTTTCCTTCTGTTGATCCAGCAAATATTTACTGAGCATCTGTTATGTACTGTGTTTTAGGATTCAGGTGAGCATGTCAGAAAACCGCATAAGAAAAGAAGCATCAGTGTCCTGTGCTGTGTTCTCATGGTAGTGGGGCCATTCAGTGTGCCTGGGCAGAGTGCATGAAAGGGTAGTGGTGGGGAGGGAAGACTGAAAAGGTAGGTTGAGGTACGGAATCCCATGCTAAGGAGCCTGTATTATCCAGCCATTAGCGAGCCTATGGAGGCTTTTGGGTTGAAAAGTGACATGATGAACTGATCTTGAAAAAAAAAATTTTCTCTAATAGTAGCTTGTGAGCTCTAATAAAGCAGACCTTTAATTTGCACCTCACAGGTTCTTAGGAAAGTTATTGAATGATGGTGATGTGTGAAAAATGGCATAGATAAGAGTGGGACCATGTGGCCACTGAGGAGGAACCACCCTGTCTGTTGAACATGGGACTGGAGCCGTACATTGGGAACAAGGTTCTTAGGTTATTTCTTCGTTTTTATCCCAAGAAAAGTTAAGGATGAACATTTGTCTGTGACAAAGCAATGAGTGAAGGAAATTATTTTTGTGTGTTGTGTAAGTTTCTATCTTTCTAAGAGTAGCCAGTAGTCTCTACTGTGTGCACATCTTCTGAAAGGGAGGAAAGGAGGGGGGAGGAGAAATTAGAGAAGGATAATCAGAAAAGACAAGGCAGGACACCCCATTGGTGTGCTTCTGCAGGACTGTGTCACCAAGAGGTGACATGACACAAGTTCCCACCTGTTGGAAACTACACTGTTCTCAAGCTATTTTGAAGAAAACCTAATCCCAAGTGATATTTAGCTCTGAGAAAATCAGGAGAAAGAAAACAACTAGTGCAGACCTCTGAGGTGTCACTGAGAAAAGCCACTTTGTTCTAAATCAGAAATGGTGCCTAGAATAAGCCAGATGTTTTCCTACACAAACAGAGGGAGTATCTCAGTTTAAAACAGAGGTTTTTAACCTACAGTAAGCAAAAATTTATGTTTATATACATTTTTCTAGGGAGAAAATTCATAGTGTTCATCACAGAGCTTTACAACTTTCAAAAAGAATTAAAAATAGCTGCTTTTTTAAAGCTATATATGACAAACCTACAGCCAGCATTATACTTAACGGAGAAAAACTAAAACCATTCCCTCTAAAATCAGGAACCAGACAAGGATGCCCACTATCTCCACTCCTATTCAACATAGTACTGGAATTCCTAGCCAGAGCAATTAGGCAAGAAGAAGGAATAAAAGGAATACAAATAGGTAAAGAAACTGTCAAAATATCCCTATTTGCAGACGACATGATCCTATACCTTAAAGACCCAAAAAACTCTACTCAGAAGCTTCTAGACATCATCAATAGCTATAGCAAGGTAGCAGGATAGAAAATCAACATAGAAAAATCATTAGCATTTCTATACACTAACAATGAGCAAACTGAAAAAGAATGTATGAAAACAATTTCATTTACAATAGCCTCAAAAAAAAAATCAAATACCTAGGTGTAAACCTAACAAAAGATGTGAAAGACCTCTACAAGGAAAACTACACACTTCTGAAGAAAGAGATTGAGGAAGACTATAGAAGGTGGAGAGATCTCCCATGCTCATGGATTGGTAGAATCAACATAGTAAAAATGTCTATACTCCCAAAAGTAATCTACATGTTTAATGCAATTCCCATCAAAATTCCAATGACATTCACTAAAGAGATTGAAAAATCTACTGTTAAATTTATATGGAAACACAAGAGGCCACGAATAGCCAAGGCAATACTCAGTCAAAAGAACAATGCAGGAGGTATCACAATACCTGACTTCAAACTATATTACAAAGCAATAACAATAAAAACAGCATGGTACTGGCACAAAAACAGACATGAAGACCAGTGGAACAGAATAGAGGACCCAGATATGAAGCCACACAACTATAAGCAACTTATCTTTGACAAAGAAGCTAAAAATATACGATGGAGAAATAGCAGCCTCTTCAACAAAAACTGCTGGGAAAACTGGTTAGCAGTCTGCAAAAACTGAAACTAGATCCATGTATATCACCCTACACCAAGATTAACTCAAAATGGATCAAGGATCTTAATATCAGACCCCAAACTCTTAAGTTGATACAAGAAACAGTAGGAAATACTCTGGAGTTAGTAGGTATAGGTAAGAACTTTCTCAATGAAACCCCAGCAGCACAGCAACTAAGAGATAGCATAGATAAATGGGACCTCATAAAACTAAAAAGCTTCTGTTCATCAAAAGAAATGGTCTCTAAACTGAAGAGAACACCCACAGAGTGGGAGAAAATATTTGCCAACTATACATCAGACAAAGGACTGATAACCAGAATATACAGGGAACTTAAAAAACTAAATTCTCCCAAAACTAATGAACCAATAAAGAAATGGGCACGTGAACTAAACAGAACTTTCTCAAAAGAAGAAATTCAAATGGCCAGAAAACACATGAAAAAATGCTCACCATCTCTAGCAATAAAGGAAATGCAAATTAAAACCACGCTAAGATTCCACCTCACCCCTGTTAGAATAGCCATCATCAGCAACACCACCAACAACAGGTGTTGGCGAGGATGCGGGGAAAAAGGAACCCTCTTACACTGTTGGTGGGAATGTAGACTAGTACAACCACTCTGGAAAAAAATTTGGAGGCTACTTAAAAAGCTGGACATCGATCTACCATTTGATCCAGCAATACCACTCTTGGGGATATACCCAAAAGACTGTTACTCCAGAGGCACCTGCACATCCATGTTTATTGCGGCACTATTCACAATAGCCAAGTTATGGAAACAGCCAAGATGCCCCAGCACTGACGAATGGATTAAGAAAATGTGGTATCTATACACAATGGAATTTTATGCAGCCATGAAGAAGAACGAAATGTTATCATTTGCTGGTAAATGGATGGAATTGGAGAACATCATTCTGAGTGAAAGTTAGCCTGGCCCAAAAGACCAAAAATCGAATGTTCTCCCTCATATGTGGACATTAGATCAAGGGCAAACACAACAAGGGGATTGGACTATGAGCACATGATAAAAGCGAGAGCACACAAGGGAGGGGTGAGGATAGGTAAGACACCTAAAAAACTAGCTAGCATTTGTTGCCCTTAACGCAGAGAAACTAAAGCAGATACCTTAAAGCAACTGAGGCCAATAGGAAAAGGGGAACAGGAACTAGAGAAAAGGTTAGATCGAAAAGAATTAACCTAGAAGGTAACACCCACGCACAGGAAATCAATGTGAGTCAATGCCCTGTATAGCTATCCTTATCTCAACCAGCAAAAACCCTTGTTCCTTCCTATTATTGCTTATACTCTCTCTACAACAAAATTAGAAATAAGGGCAAAATAGTTTCTGCTGGGTATTGAGGGGGGGGAGAGGGAGGGGGCGGAGTGGGTGGTAAGGGAGGGGGGTGGTGGCAGGGGGGAGAAATAAACCAAGCCTTGTATGCACATATGAATAATAAAAGAAAAATGAAAAAATAAATAAATAAAAATAAAAAAATAAAAGTAGCTGCTTTTTTTAAAAGACAAGGCAGGGAATGATGGCATGCATATATTCCCAGTACTCAGGAGGCTGAAGCAGAAGGATTGAGAGTTCCAGGCCAACCTGGCTACATAGCAAAACAATTAAAAAAAAAGAAGAAAAGACAAAAGAACATAAATCAATAATAACAAAAAGCAATGTATAATTTTAACTGGGCCAATCTAGACCCTGCTTCTTATCTATAGTTTGCCTGCTCATGTGTAGTTTTATCACTGGCTACCAATTACTATACTGTGATGAAATCATTCCTCATGCCTTTTGTAACTTAGCTTGTGGCCATTAGGAGCTATCAAGAACCTGATGGCTGACCTGAGCCCCGCTTCATTCCAGTGCTATGCTGGCAGCAGGTGACCGTGGGAAGCATTGACTAATACACCTTCCAGGGTGAAAACACTGGCTTCATCCTTAGTCATCACTTAAGCCTGAGACCGAATATCACATGTCCAATGCAAGCCTCAGATTTTAGGCACAGGATTTGGGAAAATGTAATTTCAGCTAAAGACAATGATTAAAAAAAAAAAAAAGTTGTCCAGTATTTGTTGCTGTAGGGTCATTCGTGGAGCCCACAGGTTAGGCAGGCTAGCCCTGGCCTGCTCAGCCATCAGCTCTACCAATGTATGCAAACCCACCTTCAAAGAGGAGGGAAGGGGTAAACACTAAGGTTATAGACTGACTGAAACTACTGTGTAGCTTCTGTTAGTGTTTCCTGTCAGAAGATATCTCATCATGGCTGGCCCTCCAAAGGGAGGGACTCTGTAAATGACAGGTTCTAAGAAAGACTGCAGGAGGTCGCTGCTTATTAAGGCCTCCTAGCCATCAGTCACTCTGCAGGATCCTTTTACTCTAATCTTTGTAACAGCAGTTGAAGGCATATATATATATATATATATAAACATCTTTACAAATGAAGGAACTTGAGTCTCGGGTAGATTGAATAACTGGCAAAAAGTTACACCCTAAACGTTAAAGCTAGGATTAAACCTGTATAAGATGAAAAAAAAATGGTTTCAAAACCAGTAACAGATTAACATAACTAACATAAGCAAAAGAGGAAATTTATTGCACAGTTTTCAGGCAACTTACAAAATGGACAAGAAAGGGCACGAGGTTGCTAGGGGTTAGAGAAGTAGCAGGGACAACCTAACAGTCTGCTCAGGACATTAAGACTACCTTGAATGACCATCTCTTCTGTAAAGTAAGGATAAGTGAGAGCCAGTCTGACTGCAACCTGGTCTTCCCACCACATCTCAGCAGGGGAGGGACTATAGATGGTCCCAAAATGCAGACAACGATGAGCACATGGACACCTGTAAACCTCGATTGACCAACGCAGCAAACTCTACACCATTAAGGAAAAGTAATTTCTCATGGAAATTAAAGTATTTAATTAAAAGGAGGCAGACTATCCACTGAACAACTAAAACCAGCAACTCCCCAGCATCCGTAAACCCACATCTGTCCAACTCCAAAGCTGTGGCATTGACAATTACATCATTCTACTCCTTAAATAGGTAGCAGACTGGAGCTCTTGTTACTTAAATGTCAGAAAGTTAAGAGGGGAGCAGGAGAGTTAATATCACAGATATGAAAGTTAAGTGTTTTATATTGCACTGTGGTTCTTAATTTAAAGTACTTCTCTTTCTGGCCTCTAGGTATGTTCTTAAGCTAGGAGTGATTCTGCATTTCCCTGTGATCTAACCTGGGTCTGATTCCCAGTTCCACCATTACTGTCTGTAGGGTCTTGGGCAGGTGTGTAACTTCAGTGAACCTGTTTTCTTCACCTGTTAAATGAGCTAAAAACCTATCACCTCACCAGCTCATTGTAAAGTTACAGTAAGCAGACATATAAAGTGCTTGACATATAAGATGTTCTCAATAAATGTTCTTCCCACTCATACTCTCAGCCAACATACCAAAAAAAAAAAGTAGTATTGTTAGTGTTCTAAAGATTGTATGATTCATTTCTTCTTGTAGGTGTAGTCTTGTTTATGGAAGAATACCCAGATATTTTATGATGGCATTTGCACCTCCAAAAAGCATAGATGGCCCCAAAATGCAGACAAAGATGAGCAGCTGGACACCTCTCAACCACCAACTTTTGAATGACCGGGTAAGTGGCAGAACAATTTTGTTATTTGGATCTGTACTTTAAAGAAAATAGTAAAATTTTGACTATCAAAATATAAACAGGAATTTCTCAGGATGTTGTGATGGATGAAAAAAGAAAAAACAAAGCATTTATTATGAAAAAAATTTTTATAGAGACTGTTATGTAAGCAAGGCTGGCAGCAGGCCAGTAGTTCCTGCCCAAGGTGGGAAATTGCCTTTGATGCATTTTTTTCCTGCAGGGTCACTTCTCCTCTCTCTCATCCCAGGTACCTGCTTTCTCCCATCACTTGTGTTCTCCCAGGACTGGGGAGGAGAGGAAGGGGTGGTCTGTGAGGAGTTCCCAAAAAATGGGGATTCTGGCTAAAGTTAAGGACATTGGGTTATGCTACACACAAAATGCATCAAATAAATCAAACAAATACATTTCAGCTGGTTGCTGACAGACCTCGGTTCTCCAATAAAATACCAATCCTATTATGTGAAACTGAAAATGGGATCCACTCCAAAGGGTAAGTTCAAGCCCCCTATGCATATCATTGAGGCTCCTTCATGCCCTGGCCTCAGCCAACCTCCCAACTCCCCCACCCCTGTTGCTATGTCTGTTTTACATCAGAGGAGTGGAAAGAGAAAGTCATGAGAGAGGGCCAAGATTAAGTCTTGATCTTAAAAATCAGGCCCCTTCATGCCCTGACTTCAGTCATCCTCCCAGCTCCCGCCCCTCTCTCACACTGGATGCCAGCCATACTCGATGCCCAGGTGAGCTCTGCTCTGCCACAGCCCCAGTTCTATCCTCACCTGAGAGAGTCAACTCCAAGGTTGTTCCATCTGTGATGCCTCTCCTGCTTCCCTTTGCTCTCACCACTGTTTTTGGGTAAGAGTCCTCTCCTCTCCTCCTCCTCCTTCTCCTCCCCCTCCTCCTCCCCCTCCTCCTCTCCCTCCTCCTCCCTCTCCTCCTCCTCCCCCTCCTCCTCCCCTTCCCCTTTCCTTTCCCCTCTTCCTCCTCCTGCTTCTTCCTCGCTCTCTCTCTCTTCCCCCTTCCTCCATTCCTTTTTTCCTTTCTTTCATAGTAGTTTGGGCCTTGTGCTTGGTGGCCTATCATTTTTCCACTTGAAACATGACCCTAGTCCTTTTCCTTTTAGTTTGTTTTTGTTTTTCAGATAGATTCTCTCACTTTTGCCCTGGCCTTTCACAGCTGTCTTTCTACTTCCTCCTCCCCAGTATCTGGGATTGCAGGCACAAACCACCATGCTCCACTTGTTTTGAAATAGCCTCCCACCAACTTTTGCCCAGGCTGACCCATAACTTCAGTCATCCTATCTCTCTCTGCCTCCCGAGTAGCCATTATTATAGTCATGTACCACCACACCCCATCCAGGTCCCCTTTCATTGACTCTCATTTTCTGGCCCCTCTATCTCGTTCCTAACAGAGGTGTCATCCCTCTGGTAAAGTCAGTCATCAAACTTGGCCGCCTCTCAATATTGTCTACTCTGATGTGAAGCAGGAGCAATTTTCAAGAGAAAGAAGAGTTGGGGAAGGGGAAGGGTTTGGAAGAGTAAGAAATAGAATGGAGAGTACTAAAAATGAAAAAATAAGGAAATGAGGAAAGAGGAGAGAGATAGGAGGGGCCAGGAGAAACAAAAGCAGAGAGAGGGAGAGAGAGATCCAGCCTTCATCTATAGCCATGAATACCAAACAAATCAATAGAATCTTTTTCCTTCAGCAAAACAATTATTTATTGAACACCTGTTTTCTTTTTTTATTACAAAAGTTTTATTAGGGTATATTGGGGGGATTCATAGTGACAATTCCAATTAGGCTTATATTGTACATTGGCTAAATCACCCCCATCATCTCTCTCCCTCAACCCCCTCCCTGCCCCACTTAAAGCAATAGCAAGAGGTTTCTTTGTTCTATTTCATATAAGTATATAAAGTCCATCAATCATGTGCCTTCACCTTAATCGCCATTATTTACCCTCCCCCTAGGGCCCCCCCCACTGTACCTATTTTACAGTCTTGTATTTTGTTATTAATATTTAAGTTGATGTTCAAAGGGGTGTCTCAATGTATTCCCGCTGTGAGTCTACTTTACTTTGGTCTGTTCAATCCCTTCCATTGCTCTCTCTTACCCCTTTACCTCCCACCCCCCATTTTTCAACACATCCTTGTACACTCTACCTTTACAGATATTATGTTTTACGATATTACTGGTTGAGCACCTGTTTTCAATGCTGTTCATTCTCCCAACAGTTTATATAACAGCTTATTCCCTAAACTTCAGTGTTTTGTGTTGAAATCTGTTTTCCCATAGAAATTATGAAGGTTTTACATACGTGTGAAAAAGTGACTTGAATTAAAATGCAAAGTTATCGGATGCCTTGGTTTTCAGACATTTTTTTTGAAAAATTAAGTCTTGATCAATTTAGTCATTTTGGAGAAAAAGAAAAGTGCCTTATAACTAAAACTTACCTGAATGCCTGCTGCAGGTTAGATGACCACAGAAGCAGTTTCCTTTATTTATTTTATTTTTATTTATTTTTTGCAGTGCTGGGTCTTGTATCTAGGACCTCAGACATGCCAGGAAAGGCCCATCCCAGAGAGCCACACCCCAGTCCCAAGAAGCAGATTCTGAGATGAGAATGTAAGGGTTAATACCAAGGACAGAAGGGAAGGATGTAGGTTTGGGGCAGAGGAAGAAGGTGGTCTGGGATGCAGTCTCCCCAAGGTCTCCACTGGTATGATCCCAAAGCTGGTATGATCTTGAAGCTGGCATGATCCTTCAGAGTGGTCTTACAGTTTGGCAAGGGGATCTCACCGGCCCTTATACTTCACAATGAATATTCAGAGGATGCCAACTGTCCTCCCCTCCTTTGGATAAGGCAGCTCCCTCAAGCTCAGGGCTATCAACCAGCAGCCTCCCCAAAGGTGTGGGGGAACAAAGCCCTCAGTCCTGGCGAGGAAGGGGTCAGTACATCACAGAAAGTGTGATATTGTCTTTCTTACTTCTTTTATGGATTTTGTCTCATTCACTGATAATTTCCAGAGAAAATATTTATTTCATTGTTCAATAGAACTCCCATATTCTAAAAAATCTTTTTTGGGGGGTTTAGTTAGGTTCTGGTTTGGAGTAAACATTTTTTTTAATCTTTTTATGTATCTGTAACACATATGTATGTGTCTCAGGCAAACTAATAACACTGATTTCTCCCAAAAAAAGTTAGGTGGACATTGGTGACTAGAGGGGGAGGGGCTATTAAAAGAAAAATTTCAGGGCTGGGGGCGTGGCTCAAGTGGTACAACACAGCCTTGAAAAGAAAAATTTCTTTCTCTTTTTACTTTATATAGTTCACTATTCTTTCTTTTTTTTTTTTTTTTGTGGTACTGGGTTTGAACTCAGGGTCTACATCTTGAGCCACTCCACCCGCCCTTTTTTGTGATGGGTTTTTCTTTTTCAAGATAGAGTCTCCCGAAATATTTGCCTGGGCTGGCTTTGAACCTCAATCCTCCTGATCTTTACCTTCTGAGTACCTAGGATTACAGGTGTGAGCCACCAGCACCAGCTTCAATTTTTGACATAATTTAAAAGTAAATGCAAATAAAAGCAAACACAGAACAAAAACTCTGGGAATTAAAAACCTGATTCCAGATCAGCTGTCACAGTGACTCCCTGCATGCTTTCGGTGGGTCACTTGCCTTCTCTGGGCTTTTTCCTTCTTTATAAATGAGAGGGTCAGAGCTGGTGACTTGGAGAGTCCCTTCCAGGTCTGTCCTTCCAACTGTGTGAAAGGGATTAACATAGAGTCCCCAGGACACAGTGGTCAGAAGGCATCCAGCCAGTAATTCCATGGTGTTTTCTACATTTCAAAACCAGGCATTGTCACCAATGGTCAATACAATTGAGAGTTCCCTTTTTTTTTTTTGGGAGGGGGGACAATACTGGGGTTTGAACTCAGTGTCTTGTACTTGCTAAGCAGGTGATCTACCACTCGACCCATGCCCCCAGCTCTTTTTGCTGTGGTTATTTTTGAGATAGCATCTTATATTTATGTTCAGTCTGGTCTGGACCACAGTCCTCCTGCTTATGCTTCCTGTCCACATCCAGCTTTTATATGTGAAATGGGCTCTTTCGAATGTTTTCCCCAGGCGACCTTAAGTGAAGATCCCCCTGATCCCTTCCTCCCAAGTAGCTAGGATTACAGGCATGAGTCACAGGAACTGCCCAGCCCATTTTGTTTTTAATTTTGTCTTTCTTCTATTCGGTAGTGGAACATAAAATACATAATTGTCTCAGACTAAAATAAGAGTCACAGGATTTTAACTTCACAGTAGGCTTTAAGCAGAAAGATTGAATTCAAATTAAGATGCCTTAAAAAAAAGCATCATCAGGATAGGCAAATGAAACAGATTACAAAGTAATTCAGGCACTGAGAATTTTGAGTGGAGGAATGCCTCAAAAGTACATATCTCTTTGCCATCCAGTGTTATAATTAGAAGTGATCATTCCCACCCACACACAAAGGTAAGTACAGATGGTGGTGGATGAGATCATTTGCTTGACAATAGCAATCATTTTGCTGTGCATATGTATATCAAAGCATTGTGTGGTATACCTTAAATACATACAATTTAAAAAAAGAAAAGTAAAGGATCCACATTTTTTTAGAGTGATTCATACCTGGCATACAGAGCATGTTAAAAGGGTGTTCTGAGGAAAAGAACCTGTGGCTGTCAATCAGTCATAATTTAGGAGCCCCTAAGTATCTCCTTCCCACACTGTAATGATGTCACATGGGGAAATGTGTAATTGCAATGTCAACAGACTAAAATAACAACGCTAGGATTTTGACTTAACAGCAGGCTGTGGGTAAACTGCAATATAAACAGACTGCAGAATTCTGCAAGAAAAGGAGACCCATTTTAATGGCGCCATTTCCACTAGAAATTTTGTTTTTCAGCTCTTTAAAGTGAAGAACCTGGTTGCAAGTCTTTGGAATGAAGATTTGCTTCAAACCAGGGAATATAAGACTACAAGCCCAGCTGAGAACCTGACAATCCAATGATTTGCTCCAAAATATATTTCTTGTCAAGGGTAGAGTGAGGACCAGCTCTGAGGTCTCTTGACTTCCAGGCTAGTGTTTTTCCTCTCCTCTTTCACTCCCATCACTTTCTCCTGAGTGTAGACACCTTCTGTAAACACCTAGGTTTGCTTGGCTACTGCTTAGACACACGTTAGCCTGCATAACTCTCCCCACCTCCCACCCTCTTTCCCTTCCTACCTTTTTGTGGACTGACCTCTCCCTTCAAGTGAGTGTCCCTGTGTTCCACGAGCTACGCCATCAGTGGACGCCATGATGGTACACACCAGCCTCCTTCTGAAAGCTCAGTTGTGCTGTTAGGCAGAACCCTAGCAGTGATTCATCACGAATGTAGGGCTGAGGGCTGGGGATGTAGCTCAGTGGTAGGGTGTTTGTCTAGTATGTGTGAAGTCTGGGCTCCAGTACTTAAAAAAAAATAAAAATAAAAAAAAAATAAAATGTCTACAAATACCAAATAAAAGATGGAGTAGAACTTTAAAAAAAAAGAAGGGAAGTCAGAATAGGGAAAAACCAAGTTCTAGTGAGAATCCAATCGTAGAGTTGAGCTGAACAGAGAGTTTGGAACCAGTGATTTAGAAAAAAAATCTAGTCAGGCACTGGTGGCTCACACCTGTAATCCTACCTACATGGGAGGTTGAGATCTTGGAGAATCATGGTTCCAAGCCAGCTTAGGCAAATTGGTCATGAGACCCCCATCTCCAAAATCACTGGAGCAAAATGGACTGGAGGTGTTGCTCAAGCAGTAGAGTGCCTGCTTTGCAAGTGTGAAGCCCTGAGTTGAAGGAAGGAAGAGAAGAAGAGAAGGAAGGAAGGAAAGACAAAAGAAAAGAAAATCTAGGAACTGGGGGCATGGCTTAGCATGTACAAAGCCGTGGGTTCAATACCCAGTACTATTAAATAAATAGGTAAGTAAATAAGTAGAAAAAGAAAATCTAGATAAATTTAACCTTTTGGGCCTCTGCTTGTCCTCTCTAAAAAAGTGAAAGATTTATGTGGTACGAAACAAAAATCAGTACATTCTTTCTGAATAAGAAAATTGAGGATAAAGATCTTTTTTGGCAATACTGAGTTCAAGGTTGAACATAAAGATCTTTAGAATTTCTTTTAGCTCTGAAATTCTGTGACCTTGGAAGCTTTTCCTTATTCAATCAGCTGTTCAAGAAGGACCTGCCATGGGATCTGTCCTTGCTGGTTCTGGGAGCCTGGAAGAGAAAGGGGTTGTCACCTACATGGGAAGACAAAGTTAACAGACCACCAGAGAGCAAAATCAAGCACTCTCAAGTCCAAGTGGCAGGTGACTGTGAGTGGAGTGGAGGTCAGGGGACTCACTGGGCACCAGAAGAGTGATAGCACTGTGACTTGGGTTGGGCAGTTGGTGACTGATGGAAAAGAGCCCAGGAAACCCTTGAATCCAGAGTTTTTGACTCTTCTGTGTTCTATAGGTTCTCTTCTATTTTCATCTAGAAACTTATTTGAGCTTCCCAGTAGTCCAGGTGGCAGTTAATTGGGGCAAGGGTGTTTTCCTTCTTCTTCTCAAATGTACAAAATATATCTACCTGTGACGAATAAGACTTCCTAACCAGGAGCACAAGTGACATCTCACTAGTTCCAAAGCAGTCTTTGAAGCAGTTATTTTAGCTCCCATTCCATAATCCCTTGGCAACCAGAGTCTGAGAATCTAGAAAAGAAAGGAAAGTGTTATTTACTGAAAGTATAAAACCAGCTAACCAGCTCCTCATCCTCCCCCGCAAAAAGAAAAGAAGTAGGTCTGAGCTGCCTCTTCTAGCAGGAACATTCTTACAGGGCTGCAAAGCTTAGGTAGTGCCAAGAGGAAGGGAAAAACATCGATCCCAATTTTGAAAGCTGACAGAGTGTATGTGTTGGAGCGGGAGAGAGTCACATATGTTCATTACTCTCTCTCTTCATAATCCCCTCCGCTGCCAGATATACCCGCACTAGTCTTCTCTCTCTCACTCGCTCCACTCCACATATGCTCTGATGCTCAGAAAAACACCAACATGTACAGTGTTCTGCTGCACCAATCGGGTGTCAATTCCTACAGTCGCATTTATTTGATTTGACAATCTTGAAATGTGCCAGGTACAGCACTCTACTCTGGAGATGTCAAGAGGAGTAATGGTGGTTTCTGTCCAAAATAGTATGGAAGATGAAGTCTCTATAGATCACTATGTGGAGAGTCCAGAGGCACACAGACATGGATTGCTAGTCCTACAGAGGAGTACACGGACATCCACGTACATGTGTGCACACTGAACTATGAAAACCAATGCTCTTTTATAAACCTTATATATTTTCAACCATTAATATTGAAATGGTTTGGAAGGAGAGTTTCCCTTTCCTATTCTTTGTTAGTTTTTCATCTCCTTTCAAATTCTAGAGTTGATTTCTCTTTACAATTCCATTTTTTTCCTTCTTTTCTTTCAAAAACAATTACTTAACCAAGCGTGGTAGCACAGATTTGTGATCTCAGCTCTTGGGAGACTAAGTCAGGAAGACCTTGAATTTCAGGCCTGTGGGCACAGGTGGCTCTTGCCTGTAATCCTAGCTACTCAGGAGGCAGAGATCAGGAGGATCGTGGTTGGAAGCCAGCCTGGGAAAATAGTTTACAAGACCCTATCTTGAAAAATCCTAACGCAAAAAAGGGCTGGTGGAGTGGCTCGAGCAGTAGAGTGCCTACCTAGGTAGTATGGGACCTTGAATTCAAACCCCAGTATTGCTCCCCCCCACCCATAAAAAGAAAAAAAAAAAACAGTTTGAGGTCAGCCTGAGCTACATAGTGAGACCAGTCACAGCTGTAATCCCAGCCACTTGGGTGATAGAGATCAGGAGAGTAGCAACTCTAAGTCAGACCAGGCAAAAAGTTTGGCAAGACTCCAGTTTATCGATAAACTGGGTGTGGTGATGTACACCTGTTGTCCCAGTTTCATGGGAATCATAGATACAAGGATCACAGACCCTACCTAAAAAATGACTCAAAAAAGGACTAGGGATGTGACTGAAGTGGTGGAGCACCTGCTAGGCCTTGAGTTCAAACCCTAATACTACCAAAAAAAAAGTACCCCCTTGGGAATGAGATCTGAAACCTGTCTCTTCATACTCAGTTGATATAGTGCGTATTTATTTGCTGATCCTTTGATGACGTTGTTCTTATATAGGTATTTTGAACCATGACACACGAAATCACCTTATCTCTTTTATCTGTTGTAGGTATTTGAAGAAAGAAGAGCTCTCCTTGGAAAATGGGTAAGCATTTGTTTTAGTCTTGCTGGCTGCTATAATAAAAACCATAGACTTTTTCTCATCCTTCTTGGGGATAGGAAGTCCAAGATCAAGGTACTAGCTGATTCTGTGTCTGGTGAGAGCCCTCTTTGTGGGCAGCCATCTTGCTGTGTCCTGACTTGATAGAAAAGGAGAGAGTGTTCTCTGGGGTCTTTTTCATAAAGGCACTGATCCATTCCTGAGGGCTCCACCTTCATGACCTCCACATCTCCTAATTCCATCACACCAGAGGGGATTTCATATATGAACTTTGGGAAACACTAACATTCAGCTTATAACATGATCACAGAGCCCAAGGAATTCATCCTAAGCCTAAGATAGTGCTTGCTTTTCTGAGAAGCACAGCCAGTGCTTTCTATAAGTACAGTTAGGATTCACTCAGGAAAACAGAAATCACATTATTTTAACAGACATAATTTAATGAAAGGGACCAGTTAAACAAACATTGGAAAATGGAAACACAAGAAGGGAATGCCTAGGTTCCTTGGAGATAGAACAGTCGGTACTACCAGCTTTGCCAGTACCTTAGGAGTTCAGAGGGAAGACTTCCAGCCCCACAAGGGATCCAAACTTCCCAGAAATAAATTAGGTGACATCACAGCCATCTGATTCTAATATATCTGAGGAAGCGTGACCTTTCTGGGTATTTGGATAAAAGCTAGACTCTGGAATCAATTGCTATCATCAGGGTGAAGAGTCAGGACGATCCTGACAGGAACACAAGTGAACAGAAAGGAAGATGTCTCTTTTCCCTCAGTTTCCCTCTAGTGCCTCCTTATCCATAGGCGGCATTTAGCAACCAATGAAGAAATATGGTTGCAGTCTCGGCCGCCTATACTTGCAGAGTGGAGTAGAGAACGTGGATCTGAGGTCAGCAGCTTAGTAATCAGTGCACTTCACCCATTTGGCAACTCAGCATCCATGGTCACCCTTCCACACACTTAAAAGTTCCACCTGAAAACTCAAATGGCTTTATACTTTTGCCTAACAGGATACAATGTCCTTCATCACAAATCAGGTCTTTCTCATCTGTTCCTCAAATGGGAAGATGCAGAATCTCACTGGTCATTGCCCACCCCTGAGTGATGTCAAAGTATCCTTGTCTGGGCAATGTTTGCTACTCATCACATTCCTCCATGGTCCCCTCTGATGTTCCCTACTGTCAAGAGAATTAAAAACATGTGGTCATATAAGAACTTACAAATGGTTATAGCAGTGGTGTTCAGAAAAGCCATAATGTATAAACAAATCAAATGCTCATCAATAAATGAATGAATCAATGAGGTATCATATATCTATTCAATGGATGATGATTCAGCCAAACAAAGGAAGGCAATTCTGGCACCTGCTACAACAGAATTAACTTTGAAGACTTTGTGCTAAGCCAGTCACAAGAGGACAGACATTGTATAATTCCAATTGTGTGAGATCCCTCAAACAGGCAAATTCATAATACAGGACACAGAATAGAGGCTCCCGAGGGAGGGGGAGTTAGTGTTTGGTGGGTGCAGAGTTTCAGTTTGAGATAAGGAGAATGTGGAGATGGATGATGGTGATGGTTGCACAATGATGTACATGTTCTAATGTCACCAGAATGTACAATTAAAAATGGTTAAAATGGTAAATTTTAGGAATAGTTTACCAAAATGTAAAAAGCAACAATAAAAAAGTAATGAGGTATTGACCCATGTCACAGCATTGATGAACCTTGAAAATATTATGCTAAGTGAAAGAAGTCAAGCCAGGCCCAGTAGCTCATGCCTGTAGTCCTAGCTATTCAAGAGGTAGAGCTTGGGAGGATCACAGTTCGAGACCAGCCATGGCAAAAAGTTCATGAGACCCCATCTCAACCACCAATCCTGGGCATGATGATGTACTTCTGTCATCCTGGCTGTATGGGGGCATAAGTAGGTAGATTGCCATCCAGGCCAGCCCCCAGCACTTAAAAATACCTAAAGTACAAAGGACTGGGGCTGTGGTTCAAGTGGTAGAGCACAAGGTCCTGAGTTCAAACATCAGTACCAAAAAAAAAAAAAAAGTCAGACATAAAGACCACTTATTATATGACTCCATTTATATGAAATATCCAGAGAAGGCAAGTCTATAAAGACAGAAAAATGGATTCGTGGTTTCCAGAGAATAGGGCAAGAAGATATGGGAAATGGCTGTGGGTAGACATGGGGTTTCTTTTTTGAAAATGTTCTGAAATTGGATAGTAGTGATGACTGTGTGACTATGAATATACTAAAAAAACAGCCAACTGTACACTTTTAAAAAACTGAATTTTATGGCATTTGAGATATATATATATATATGTATATATATAAATTTTTAAAAATACACAAAGATTGTTTTAAAAAACAACCATACTTGGGTTTCTCTAAATTAACATACACGACAGTCTGGAAATGTTCTCTCTTAAAGCTGACAATCCAAGCCCCTTCCTCAAGGAGCACCTGTGTCCTCGGCCATAGCGGCAGACAGGTCCCTCTCCTATCAGTCACTGACACTCTTTTTGCTAAAGACTAACATAAACTAGTATTCTAACTGTTCTCATTTGCCCTAGTGTTCACCAGGTCTTTTCTGTTATTCTGCAAGCTCCAGTCTAGCATATTTACTAACTTCAGCCAAAGAAAATCAATCTGGGTGCCAGAGGCTCACACCTGTAATCCTAGCTACTAGATTGATCAAGAGGATTGAGCTGCTGGAAAATAGTTCTGGAGGCCCTATCTCAAAAAAAACCCATCACATAAAACAGGGCTGGTGGAGTGGCTCAAGTGGCAGAGCACCTGCCTAGCAATCATGAGGCCCTGAGTACAAACCCCAGTACCACCAAAGAAAAGAAAACCATATACATAATATTTCTGGAAGTTATGCACAAGAAAAGGGGTAGTTCAGGTTTCCTGAAGGGAGAATTCTGCATCTGAACCTCAGATGGAAGTGAGTCTTTTCATTGACAATTTTTAGACTTATAATTTTTTTAATCATTCAAATTGTATTACTGCTCAAAATGATAATAAAAATTTTACCTAGAAAATGTACTGAAATTAAGAAATGAAAATACTTCAAAATTTAGTTGAATATTTCTCATTCTATTTATGTTCTTAAATATTTTTCATCTGTTTCTAACAACTTATAAAGAAACTTATTTAGTATACCTATTCTTGCACTATCGTTCTAAATTGATATAATCAAGGCTAACACTCACTCAGTACTTATTGGTATGGCTGACTAGCTTCTATTTTGGTTGGTTGGTGGCATTTGCTAATTGTTAAATATTTTAAATATCATTCTGGATAAAATAAAAGTCTTTAATCTTTTTTAAAGATATTTTTCATTCTTTTACCTTAACTAGTAGAGACATATATTTGCAAAGAATATTACCAAGAAGTGGTTCTCCCTTGATGCTTCCCAGGCATTTAATAAATGTTTTGTAGATGGATAAATGATATTTATTTTTCTCTTTTGTTTAACAATAATAAAAACAATAATAATGTAAAAGAGAGGAGAAATAGAATACCAATGTTCTGACGTGTATTACTGGGATTTTCATTGTAGGAGTCAGCCTTAATCTAGTATTAGAAGTAAAATCACTTTTGAAAAGAATCTGGACAGAGAGATAGGATGTAATATGAATCCTGTCCAATGAAAGATAATTCAAAAGTATTTATATTTGGACGTTTCAAGAATTTTAAATTTGTTCATACATGTGCACATTGTTCTGTTTGATGTTTTGTACATCAACAGACAAAATATTTAAGAGAAACTAAAGGCATGTGTGGTGGTCCATACCTGTAATCCCAGCACTCTCAAGGTGGAGGCAGGAGAATCATGAGTTCGAGGCCAGCCTAGGCTACATAGTGAGACCCTGTCTCAAAAAAAGGAAGGAAGGAAGAAAGGAAGGGAAAAGAAAAGAGAGGGGGAGAGAGAGAGAAAGAGAGAGAGAGAGAGAGAGAGAGAGAAAGAGAGAGCCACTGGAAACATCTCTCTACAGTACCATTCCTTGCTCCTGCTGTCTTTCCTCTCAAATCTCTGTCCTTCAGTCTCATTAGAAAAGGCAGTTGCCTCCCGAATCTTCAGACCACACCAACAGGGAAAGTGTTTGCATTTAAAACAAAGAAAGCCTCTCAAACTTCCTCTCACTTTCTGCTATGTCAACAAACAATATTGATATTATAAAGAATTTTAATAAAGTAGCTGGCATCACTTTTAACTTGCAGGAAACAACCACAATAGAGTTAAAACTCAAAAGAGAAAGAGGGAAAACTATTATGTAGATCGCATTATAGATACAAGATTTGTAAGGATGGGAATGCAGCTCAGTGGTAGAGTCCTTCGGTTGGATTTCCAGCATAGCAGGAAAAAAAAAAAAGAATCTATCTATCTATCTATCTAGATAGATAGATATTTAAAGAGTTCTGAAAAATCAACAAGAAAATTAGTAAGCAAAGTACAAATGCCCCTACAGAATAACAGGCTAAAATAATAATGAGAAATACACAAAAATTTATGTAAATGGACAATAAAAATTTTAAATGTGCTCTTTATCACCGAAATCAGAAAAATGCAATTGTGGGGCTGCTGGAGGGGCTCAAGCGGTAAGAGTGCTGGCCAAGCAAACCCAAGGATATGAGTTCAAGCCCCAGTGCTGCCAAAAACAAAAAATGCAATTGTGTGTGGTGGGAATCTAACTCTACCACTGAGCTACAGCCCAGTCCAGGGAATCTCATGTTAAAACTCGCACCTCTCCCTCCCTTGCCTACATAGCAAAAAATTGAAGAGATAGGTAATACCTAGTGTAAGTAAGAATTCCCTGGGGAACAGAAGGCTACTCTGTTTTTGTTGTTACTGGGTTTTGTTTGTTTGGTTGGTTTTTTGTTTGTTTGTTTGTTTGCTTTGGGGCTTTTTGGTGGCACTAGTGGGTCTCACACTTGAGCCATACCTCCAGCCCTTTTTGCTCTGACTATTTTGGAGACAGGGTATCAGTTTTTATCCAGGCTGGCCTGAACAGCTGTTCTTGCCTTAGTTGGAATGACAGGTGCAAGACACAATGCCCAGCTTTTCTCCATTGAGATGGGGGGGGTCTCACAAACTTTTTGCTTGGCTGGACTCAAACCACAATCCTCCCAATCTCAGCCTCCCATGAAGCGGGGATGACAGGTGTGAGCCATCGCACCTGGCTTAGAGGATACTCTTAAATACAATTCAAGGGAATGTAAAACAGTAAAGACTTTTGAAAGACAGTTTGAGAAGATCCACTAAAACTTTAAAGGCACCTACCCTTTGAGCCTGTAATTCCACCTCTACTCATCGGTAGCAGAGCAATATTTACATAGGACACGAATAACCACGTACTACAATATTGGAGCTTTGTTCTTCTTTCATTCTTTTTGCTCTCTTTTTTAGGCTTTGTCAACTATCTAAAGTGTATCAGTTGCAAGTTTAGGGCTGGGCTTGTAGCTCAGTGGCAGACCGCTTGCCTAGCAGGTGCAAGGCCCTGCATTCCATCCCTAGCACCACAAAAAAGATAAAAATAAAAAATAAACACAGGAAGTAAGTGGAGTAGAGATCATGGTGTGTCTGTCCTTCCATGAACGAATGAGAGCCATTGTGCTCTGTGGTTGTTACATCTCAGGACATGTGAAGCTGCTCTTTACTTTCTGACTGCTCTATAGTACCTGGGATGAGTATATGCTAATGTATTTAATTTCTTCCTAATTGATTAATATATGTACACTTGCATTCCTCTGAAGGCATGAATATTAAACTCTTGAGAGGCTGTTATCTCTGGGGAATGAGGTGAAATTTGATGGAGAGGCATGGTTAGCATTTTTACGTTTGATTTTACCAAATCTGTTTAAAATTTTAACAAAAAGAAGAGAGAGAACACATTGATACTTTAATTGTGAAGTTGAATTTTTGGTAACAGGACTCAGAAACTCAATCCTATTAAAACACTATAAAAGAAAAACCAATTCTCCCTCTTGACCCCTCCTCACCTCCCCCCACCTGTGTTCTTGCCCTGCAGTGTGAGGTGGTGGGGACCTGACAGTTTTTCCATGGCCTGAAACTGCCACAAGGTCCTGTAAGCGGTGCCCTAAAAATAGCATGTCTACAGTTAGCATGAGTCAAGAAAGCCCTACGAAAGAGCATCCTTGAGGAAGGCACTGAAGGGAGGCACCAGATGTCTACTTGAGTCAGAGAATAATGCTGGTGACTGCTCCCCAATCTCACTTTGATGGGAGATTCTCAAATTCCTGTCGTGGATTATGTACTTTTTGGATTCTCAGTAGCACCTTGTAAATTCCAAAGGGATTTTCCCTGCTGTTCAGCCTTCTGAGTCATCTACTCACCTTGAATTGGTAGAAATTCAAGGAATGCAAATTCGTCTTCTATTAGCTTAAGCAATCATAATTAGAAAGGAAAATCCCTGGCGGCAAAGAACACCAAAAGCCAAATAGAAATGACCTTTGACCATTATAACTGGGGAAATAAATGAGGAACCAGTGCAATTATCTTTGTAATCTCTCGAGGAAAGTGTTTTAATGTTTTCTTTTATCGATTTCTTCAGTATACATTTTAGAATCCTAATTTCTTTTATATTCATTTTAAATTGCTCATTCTGTAATCTGAGTCCATTCTCTTCTGTGGGCCTTAAGGAAAGTGACAAGCTGATCTGTCATTGTAAATTTACTTCTCATTCTTCTCATTGTACAAACACTATAATGTCATGCTTTTAGTCTTAAATTTTGCATATATATTGATTTAATTCACACACACATTCTTTTAGCATCATTATAGCATTTTATAATAATACTTGTCATTCTGTAAGTCATGGGCTCTATTAGGAACTACATACACACATATACACATAGGTAGCATTTAATTCTCACAACAGCTCTACAATATAGATGTAATTATTCATAATGTAGAAATGAGGAAATTTAGGCTGACATGTTTCCAATGAGTATTAGAAATACAAAATTGAGAATGAGACACCCAATAGTCACTCCTATCTATCAATCCAAACTCAGCAACTGTAAAAGAATTTTATTTGAGGTCTTAGAAATAGACACACGTTCAGATAGCTCTGACTCACTGCTCTTATTGAAGTAGGGGAAGTGGGAACATATGTAGACCTGGAGTTCTTAAATAATTACAAGGAAATTAAAACTGTTTAAAGAGAGACCCCTATTGAAATTGGAAAAGAGTCCAAGGGCTGGAGGGACACCCCAAGGGACACTTCCACACTCATGTCCTGTACCTCAATAAAAACAAATTCACGCACACACTCATAATGTACGAGCTGCTAAGCAGGGACCATGTAATCCTGTAAGTCAAATGGAAATGTCCATGAAACAAGAGCTGGCTAAGCCCTCATACGTTGCTTAGTCTCTGGGCATGACGTCCTGTGGTCAAACAGAGGAGGTGCCCAAAGTTCACATTCCTAGCTTCAGCTTCGAAGATGTGTGTAAGTCCTGTCCCATGATAGCTCCTTGGCGCCATTTTAAAATGCTCTTTCAGTATTGCTTTTCATCTGGACTTTCCTTTTACTTTCACACACCCAGGCCCCCATCACTCACCCCCAGTCCCCATAAGGCCATACTTTGTCCTGTCCTGTTGATAGTTCAGGGTTTGTTTGGCTGATCGCTACCGTCAGGCATTTTGAGTTATCTCTGATTTCTTGCAGTGATAATAACTACCTCATGGTACCAGTTTTTATAACCAGGACTATCCTGGTTCCTACACAGTCACCACAAGTAATGTAAAAAAAGATTCCAATCTTCCCTTTGCTTCTCAAAGAAAAACTATAGCAGGTCAAGTTCAAAACTCCTGACAATCCTCCTCAAATCTTCTTCATCACTCTGCAGTCCTCTCACACTAGCTACTGACCTGGCTGTTACGAGCCCCATAAATCCAACGAAGTCCCAGCCTCATAGCTTGTAGCTCGGCTTCTCTCCTCACCACCTCATCAGGTGCTTGGCTTGATCCTTCTTTAGTTCCCGTCATTCTGGGCTGGTATCTACTTCCTCTCCTAAGAATCCATACCAAAACAACTGGGAAAGGAGCACCCTTTGTGAGAGGTGAAGATATACTTTGTGCAAAAGCAGAAATCACAAGAATCAGGGAATACACACACACAACCATTTCCTGTAGTGAAGGTTTTCACTTTTTTGTTGTATTCAACACTTTTTTTCACCCTTGAATTATAGTCTTCAAAGTAAGATTCATGGGTACTTGAATAGATCTATGATACTGAGTAGTTTTAAACAAGAAGTATTCCTATTAATTATCAAAATACAACATATGGCTATAGTGAAGTTGACTGGCCATAAGACTTGGACAAAATAAATTTTTGCTTTATCTGCCTTTTTAGGTGGGCAGTATATTCTATGATTGCAACTAAAGCTAAGTTTCTGGAAACTTTACAATAAACTATATTAAATAGCTATATATGAAATGTAATGATATTTTAAAAAATGCTACTAGCCCAGACTTCTCTAATTGCTCTCCCAAGAGGGCCAGGGTAAAAAGAGAAGTAGACTTGGACCTCTGACAAAAAATGGCTTACTCAGCTGGTGGGAGTTCTTCCTGCTAGTCTTTCTTTGAGGTCACCCTAGTTCCCAGGTGATTTCCTCTGGCATCCACCTGATCTGATACTCACTGTGTAAGATCCTGCCTCATGCACTTTCTTTCTAATCGTATCAGTCATTTACACATTAGTGTAAATTTAACCCACTATACTCCCCTTATCAATGCTATTTGCACGTTATACCATATCTCCAATTGTGGTTGCCAAGGGTTGTTTCTGGTCCTAGAGTTTTAAGCACTGATGGGCTGACGTAGAAATTATTTGGAGGAAGAGAGCTGCCCAGGCACATTTTCTTGGAATTGTATTTGGTAAATAATATATATGTATTGTTTTTCAGTTTATGCATCTGGTCAGCTCCCAATGTATAAGGTCTGAGGTCAAATGCACTTCTTAGGTCATGCATATAAATGGGAGCTAGAACTGGTAGGTGACAAAACTTGAAATTTACTGAATTGGACAGAAATATGTGATATGCTTTAGGAATAAATTGCTACACTCACTGGCTGTGCCATTCTCATCTCTTCCTCATCACGCATCTCTGCTGTCAGACCACCCCTGGGAGCTTTTTGTTTTTCATTTTGTCTTGTTTTTCTAGTTTGACAAATGGACAGATTCCCAAAGGAGAAGAGTCCTCACTGGCCTGCTGGAGCGCTGCTCCCTGTCACAGCAAAAGTTCTGCTGCCGAAAGCTGCAGGAAAAAATTCCAGCAGAAGCCCTGGATTTTACTACCAAGCTTCCAAGGGTGTTATCTGTGTACATCTTTTCCTTCCTGGATCCCCGAAGCCTTTGTCGTTGTGCACAGGTAAGTGGCTAGATGAACACGGAGTGGCATACGGCATTTTGTAAGGACAGCTTAGACATGTCTGAAACTTACATAAGGAACATAAGGATGAAACCCAAGCATGCATAAAAGCAAGCAATAGATCTTTAGACCGTCCAGTTCAAAGGATGTTCTCTTTTGTGTCTAACTCTGTATTTTGGTGCTCAAAGGGAAAAGTATAAAAACCCATGAGTGGCCACAAAAAAGTAGTAGCTAGTTGAGGAAGTACGTACACATGTAAGAAATGATTCTTGGCAAGACACTCTTGTGCAGCAAACAACTAAAATAAAAGCTCAATTGTATAGTGCAGGCTACCCACGAAAGGAAAAACTCCGAAGGAGGTGCTCCTGAGATCTGTGCCAAGAGATGAGAAGAGATTCAGGTGGGCATCACACACAGGCCCTGGAAAAAGAACCAGCTATTTTCTTACAAGTAATTCCATAGTGTATTAAAGTGAAGTTAATTTACTTAAGCTATAAAACTGGTAGCCATGTTGTTGAGTCTTTTTATGGAGTTTAGTAAAACCCCAAATTTCTAGCTACTAATTCATGAATATGTGATATGTTAATTTTAGTTTTTTAAATTAAAGAAATGAGTGCATGACACCAGAGGAAACCATTCAATACTGAAAGAAAACACTGGGAAGGAGGCCTTTGTGAGTACTGTATAATCCCCAGAAGCCCTAAAAGAAAATATATAATTCATTTAATATATAATTTAAATGGTATATAATTAAATATATAATATTATATTAACATTATAATATATATTATTAATATTTGTATATTATATCTATAATTTATTATTATATAATTTATAATAACATTAATTCGTTGTATATGTCATGAGCAAGAAAGAAAAAAGCAAGATTTTAAATTATGACCAAACTCTGGTTTCTCTCCAGACTGTATAAATCTTTCCCCTTTTAAGTTGTGACTTTAAAAATTAAAATGTTCTCTGTGGAAAAGAACACCATAAATAAATCCAAACAGGGAAAAATATATTGCAAACAAAGGGATAATTTCTTATTTCTTAAGGAATGTCTATAAATCTATATTAAGAAAAAAAGACTAACAACCCAGTAGAAAAAGGAGCAAAGGAAATGAACAAGTAGGTCACAAAAAAAGAAATGCAGATGTCTCCACCAAATGGGGGACCTTAGCCTCATTACAGCATGCCATCTTTCATCACGCAGATTGACTGTTTTACAAAATGATAATATTTCATACTGGAAAGGGTGTGAGGAAACAAGAACTTTCATATATTGTTGGTAGATAAATTGGTGCCACCAATAGAAAACAACTTGATGGTATTAATTTTTTAAATAAAATTTTCTTTTAACACAGCAGTGCCACTTCTTGGAATTTGTCTTATTGGTATACTTCAACATATGTGGAAACGATTTCTGAAAACTTATTTTGATTGCAAAATTAAGAATATTGTAGCACTGTTTGTCCTAATAGAAGGTTGGAGACAACAGAAATGCCTACCACTAGAGGACTGGGTAAATAAATAGCAATGACCTCCAAGATATGTTAAGAGCACAGTGCAGAACTGAAAAGTTCTGCCATTTTAAAAAGAAAAGGATGCCAGGCTGGTAATCAACAAGCAGGAGGATCACAAGTTTGAAGCTAGCCTGTGTTATGCTTTACGCTGGCGGGGTAGCTCAAGTGGTAGGGTGACTGCTTAGCAAGTGTGAGGTCCTGAGTTCAAGCCCCAGTATTGCAATAGAGAGATGAAAGATAGATAGATAGATAGATAGATAGGTAGATAGATGATACATACATCCACACATACACACATAGATGTGTAGAGAGATAGACAGATTGAAAAAGAATGCATATGTATTTATAAATATGTGATTATATACCTAGGATGTTTCTAGAATGGTATACAGCAGCTGAAAGTAGTTGTTACATTTAGGGCTGGGGATGCGTGGCTGGAGGACAGAAGTGGGAGACTGACTTACTTTTTACCGTGTGCACCTTTGTACTTTTGAGTTTGTTATTATCATACATATATTACCTATTCTAAAAATGAAGTGATTTTTTGATGGACCTGGGGTTTGAACTCAGGGCTTCACACTTGCAAAAAAAAATGAAATAACTTTTTAAAAGAGCCTAGTAATCTAAATGTCCAACAAGAGGATGTCATATAGCCACGTGATAAATTATTATGCCACCACACACCACACACACATAATGTGTGGTAGAAGAATGGACATGCTGTGATATTGAAAAAAAGTGAGATTGCAAATTGTCTAGTGTAGCTATAGAGTTTCCAGTTCTGTTTCATACGTGCTTCAAAAAGAGTGAAAGGAAAAGAATGCTGTTAGGTTGTCAATAATGGTCACCTCTAACTGATAGGATTAGGGGTATTACTTTTCTTGAACTGAGCACTTCCCAATTTTCCACAGTGAGACTGTCATCACTGAGGGGAAATGCCATTTGGAGTTTGAAGCCTGTCACCAGTATGCACTATCTGTCCGTGTTGCAAGACCTCAGCATATTTTATCCCTATTACTGCCTGTGAGGAAGAAAAGACCCAGTTCTTCAACTGCATTTAAAGTATACAATAAGTCTTTGCACCAAAATGAGCTTTGAATTGTTCCAAAGAGATGTCTCCATCCTCTACCTGCAAAACTAAGTTAACTTGCTACATGGAGATTCGGGAGAGTGTGGCTTCAATTTTGAGTGGAACCAACTAGATGTGATTTCTGTTCCTGCCCGCAGGGCTCTATCAGATCCCTTAACCTTGTCCCCTCCTTCCAGCCCCTGGACATTTTATTTCTTCCAATTATACCCCATTCTTCCTTAATGTCTCATCTCCAGCTCATATCACAATATTAAACATAGAAGAAACTCAGTGAATGGTAGATGAAAGGAAGAAGAAAGACGAGACGTAAAAATGGGCTATCATGAGTGCCCTGATTATTGGAGGGCTACTCAAAAATTATCAGCTATTTAATTCATCTTGAAAAAGACAACAGTCTTCTAGGATGAAATTTGGGATTGAAAGTTAGATGTCATCTTTGCAACTCTTACAACTTAGATACACAGTTGATATCTCAACTTATGAACTTGACCTCAGTTCCCAGCAAGACTTCTTCAAAATCTGGAATAAATTATTGTAAATATTGCTACACATAGTAAAGCTACCGCCACCATTTGCTGGGTATACAGGATTGACTGTACTGCTGTGGGAAGAAAATGTACTGAACAAATACTTTATCCTCTGTGGAATCCTAGGGGCTTTATAATAATATGAAATGATATCAGTAATTGGATTGTATTTATAAAATTTGTATTTAGTGAAGTTGAAGAATGGAGGAAAGGGAAAGTACACTATGAAAAATAAACAGTGTGCAGACCTGAGTCTATATAAACTTCATATAACTTTCATATGACCATCAGGAACCTTAAGGAAGTTCCAAAGTCTCATTGAGCCTCGCTTTTCTCATTTGCCATAAAAGACTAATAATTATAATTTAATTACTCCTTTGAGGATGATTAACAGGTAGGTGCCCAGGAAATATGAGTTCCCTCTGATTTGAAGTCTGAATCAGCATTGAAAGTAAATTCTTCTGCCTGGCAAGGAAGCATGCTACGCAAGAGAGAACTATTTATTAGGCTGAGATTTTGGAGAAAATGACAAGCGTTAGCTCTGGCCCAGAATTCCAGCTCAAAGCCTAGAGAAAGTGGGCATGGAAACAGGTATTTTTTTTTGTTTGTAATGGTCATTGTTTTTACAGGTGAGCTGGCATTGGAAGAACTTAGCCGAGCTGGACCAGCTCTGGATGCTCAAATGCCTACGGTTTAACTGGTACATCAATTTCTCTCCAACTCCCTTTGAGCAGGGGGTATGGAAGAAGCACTATATCCAAATGGTGAAGGAACTTCATGTCACCAAACCTAAGGTAAACTAGAGACAAAAAGCAGCAAACTTTCCAGGCACCAGTGGCTCACACCTATAGTCCAGTTACTCTGGAGGCAGAGATCACAGTTTAAAGCCAGCCCTGGCAAATAGTTCAAGAGACCCTATCTCGAAAAAACCCATCACAAAAAAAAAGGGCTGGCAGAGTGGCTCAAGTGGTAAAGTGCCTGCCTAGCAAGTGTGAGACCCTGAGTTCAAATCCCAGTACTGCCAAAAAAAAAAAAGCAGCAACTTAACATCAGCTACAATGAATTCTAAAACTACAAATAAATGAACCAACTTGAGGCTAGAGAAGGAAGATAGTTCACAGGAAATGCATGCACTGTAATTTCAAAATTCTCCTTTTTGAAAACTTGAGAGCCCTTTTAAGATACCCATGAGAGTTGAGAGCCTTTTGCCTGATACCTTTCAACCACAAGTGCACCCAAGAGGTCAGGACTAGGGAGCTTCTCCCTCTGTCCCCATTCCTGATTTCTGTACCTCTGACTCAGACACCAGACAATTCTGACATGGGAACTCTGGATAACGTGCAGTATTTGTTACTGTGGTTCATCATAGCTGACTAATTCTAATTTGCCATGATTCTACAAGGCGGGCTACCATTTACTTCTTTATTTTTGCAGCTCTGGGGATTGAACTGATGGCTTCAGGCATGCTAAGCTAATGCTCTGCCACAGAGCTACACCCCCAGCCCTGAAGTTTATTTTTGTATCATTTATAAAGGAACACTTTCCCATAAAGTGGTCATCAGGGAAGAGTCTAATGGGCATATTAAAATTCCTTTCCATCCAGAAACTAAGCAATGGAGAGCATTTGCGTATAATCACAAAATGTAGATAATGCAAGAATAATTTTTCTTATGGCTTTCAGTGCATTATAACCAATGTTTATATCCACTCCTCCATTCAGAGCTAAATACATAATTTATGGAAGATTTTATGTGCATTTTGTTTATGGCACTACCTGTACACATGCCACGTGGAGCAGCATTTTGTACAATAGACTGCTGAAAAGTTATGTGTAAATTAATTTTTAAACGATTTTTTAAACCACAGGGTATCATAATCTGTAAAACACTGCAGTGAATCCTTCTAAAATTGAATTTTTTTGAAAAATGGACAGTCAACGCCTAACTCGCTCATTTAGCTTTAGGTTTTATTGTGTTTTCTTAAAGTAGACTCCAGCTATACTTAATGTAGTAATGAACTGTGCATGATCAATATTGTTACAATTGCATTGATAAAACTAGTCATTTCAATTTTAGTAGCTGGTGTGAGGATTTCTTTTAAAAAGATCATTTTATTATTTTAAATTAATTTATTAAGATTTTTTTGAGCTGGGGGGAGCTCTTGCTCTGTAGTGCAGGCTGGCCTCGAACTCAGTCCTTCAGGGTTTGCATCTGAGTAGCTGGGGTTATAGGTAGGTACCACCAGTGCCCAGCTAAAAGACATTTAGGGCTGGCAGAGTGGCTGAAGTGGTAGAGTGCCTGCCTGATAAGCTCAAGGCCCTGACTTCAAACCCATGTACCACCCAAAAAACAACTGCAACAACCAAAAATAGCTAAAGCCCAAAAAAAGTGGGGGGAGGGCCTCGGGGCCATGGCCCACGTAGTAGAGTAGTAGAAGTCTCATACCTGCCTAGCAAGTATGAGACCTAAGTTCAAACTCCAGTACTTCCAAGAAATTAAAAAAGCATAAATTTAAATGCAGAATTTTAAAGGTTCTTTTAACTATGATGACTGCTTTACTTGTCAGGCTTTTCTGGAATCTTGTTCTCAGTTGGGAGCAGGAAGCCCATCCAAAAGCTGAAGCTCATGCTGTTCTGGGGGAGGGGAGAGAAATGTAATGAACCAGCTAAGGTAATGAAAAGGGTTTTGAATGTGACACATAAAACTGACATCAGGAAGTAGCTCAGGTGGTAGAGCAACTGCCTGGCAAGCATGAAGCTCTGAATTCAAACCCCAGTGCCACCCCAAAGCGGGGAGAAAAACCTGACTTCAATACTTTGTTTTTAGAAATAACTCTTTCCTCAAAATATTTATTTATAACTCTTCTTAAAAACAGTGAAAACTTTGGATGTAAGTAAATTTCCAACTTTTGCTTGGCATGAACTTTCTATAGGAAATTTGTAATAGTAAACTTAAATTCTTCTGTGAAGGAAATAGAACTAAATCTGAAAGACTAAGGTCAAGGAAATAACTAATACACTTAGATCAAGAGGTTAAAAAAATAGACCTAAGGCAGAAAAACCAAAGTTAATAAAAACCCTGAGATTAACACCATTGTCAGCACTATACTTACTTGTGTGCTTCTCAGATTCCCTGGGAGGTGGCTGCAACTGGAGAACATAGGTGGTCACCAGAGGAGTCCCCAATCCAGCTCCCTCAGCAGGGTCACCATCCCCCTTCCCGCTCGTGTGTGCTCCAACAGAGCTCTGGGAGGTATGTTATGAGCACACAGCGGTGATAATGCTAGCTCCCCCCAACGTTAAAATGGGAAGACTGGACCAAATGAGCTTTAAAACTATTTGTGAGTCTACAGCACCCATGTTAGAAACCAGTTTCAAAAAGACTTCAGAGTGGGAAAAAGAGTAAGTTAAACCCAAAGTAAATAGAAGGAAGAAATGGTAAAGAACCAGGATGAATGAAATCAGAACCAAACAATAGAGAAAATCAATGAAAACCACAGCTGCTTCTTGCAAAACATAAGTAGACAAATCAAGAAAACACAAATTACTAATACCAGGAGTGGAAGAGAGAGAGTCATTACAGAGGTAATGAGAGGTCATTGTGAACAACTTCAAGGGCTGATAGAGTGACTCAAGTGGTAGAACGCCTACCTAACAAGCACAAAGACCTGAGTTCAAAGCCCAGTACTGCTAGAAAAAAAAAAAATCAATCAATATAACTCATAGAATAAAAGAGAAAAGATACAAGTACGCAGAGCATTTTGTACTTTTCAGAATTAATAATTTTATATGTAATAATTAGCTTTTATTCCTAAATATTTTCCCCTGGAACTTTTTTTTATTAAAAAAAAGTATTAAATTAGATCTCCTCCAGCAAAAATAGATGTGTTTATTTTAAATAAGCTCAGAAAAATGAAATGAATGTCTATTCTAAATGAGATCTGTGCGAAATATTGACTTACATAAATATGAAATGTCTTTTTAATATGCTATTAGTCTATAATCACTCTTAAGTGAGTAAATACTCATCAACACTGCTATGTCCTGGGTGTTAAAAGTTCAAAGATCCTAGCCCTATTTTCACATTGCCTCATCTAGTAGCCCAGGACACACACGAATATTGTCATTGCAACACTGAATGCTAAGTGCTGTCCATAACAGAAATGACTATACTGCCATCCCAACTGAAGCAAACCAATTTACCAAGCAAAGCTCCCTTAATCTCTTAATGAACCAAAATTAAGCCCTTAATGGCTTCCCAACATACCGGTACCACTTCCCTTAGGCTACAACCACATTAAAAAAAATCTTGAATTGTGCACACAAAAGACAGACTTTCAATTTTGGAAATTAAGCAGAAGTATTCTTTGAGAGTGACTGTGGTTTGGATAATGGATCAAACCCATAGTCTACCCCTGTACAACTTGACCTTGACTCTCTGTGTTGCAGGTCTTTACAGTTGAAGGCTAAGGCTAAAGCACCTTGTTTTTTTTTTTTTTCTAATGTGTCCTTTTTATGGATAAATCAAACAGTAGTGACAAACTAGACCAGTGACAAGGAGGTTCAGTGCAAGGACTTGAAGCAAAATAATCCTGGATCTGATTCTGGATTCAAATTCAAATTCTCCTTATATCTTGGTGGGCAAACTAATTCTCCTGTCTTCAGTTTCCTCTTCTGTAAAATAAGAACAATACTGATTACCTTATGAAAATTATTACCTTATTGTTTTATTTAAATAAGACAGTGCTTGAAAACTGCCAGAGACGGTGTCTGACACATGGCAGTTTCTTCCAGGGTGGTGGCTGCTGTATCCTCGTCACCATTGTTGTTACCATGGTAATGATGATGCTGCTGAGATGGGAGATGAAGGTGATGGCAGTGGTAGTGGTGATATTCTTTGTTTTATTGTTGTCATTATAGTACTTTGAGAACAGAAGCAATACATTTTCTTCTTCTAGACACCTCCAAAAGATGGGTTTGTAATTGCCAGTGTTCAGCCAGTTTCCAGCAATTCTCCAGAGGAAAAGCGGCCCTCCTCCTCTCTCAGAAAGAAGAATAACCCAGGGGAAAAAGAGCTTCCGCCTTGGCGATCCTCTGATAAGCATCCAACTGATATCATTCGTTTTAATTATCTGGACAACTGTGACCCTGAGCACATACGGCAAGGGTAAGAAGCTCTGTACCCTTCTCAACCTCTTTATCAAAGCAATTTATTGGAGCCATGCACCTACCTGTGGCTCACGCCTGTAATCCTTGGTACTGAGGAGGCAGAGATCAGGAGGACCACAGTTCAAAGGCAGCCCAGGCAAGTAGTTCGAGAGACCCTATCTCAAAAAACCCATCATAAAAAAGGGCTGCTGGAGTGGCTCAAAGTGTAGGCCCTGAATACCACAAAATAAAAAAGAAAAATAATTTATTGACACTTTGATATTTGAAAAGACAAAAATAGAATTTAAGAGGTAATAGAAAATGTAGTCTAACCATAGTTTGTAAATTCGTCCTTTTCATCATAATTTGTTTGCATTTTGGAATTGTAATGATTTGACATTTCAGCTTCTTCTAATGTTTTATTTATTTTTGTGGTACTGGGGTTTGAACTCAGGGCCTACACCTTGAACCACTCCACCAGCCCTTTTTTGTGATAGTTTTTTTCAAGATAGGGTCTTGAGAACTATTTGACCAGGCTGGCTTTGAACCGCGACCCTCCTGATGTCTGCCTCCTGAGTAGCTGGGATTACAGGTGTGAGCCACTGGCACCTGACTTCAGTGTTTTAATATTACATTCCAAGCTAGCATCATACAGTTCATTCTAGCCTTCCTCCTTTTCTTATATGTACTCCCCTTCTCCACCAGTGTGTGGGTAAATGAGAGGGGCAAACTTAGATATTCACATATATCACATAAGATGAACTGACAATCGCCCGAGTTTTCTCTGAGCCTCAAACACTTGTTGCTAAGGAAATTGAGCTAAGAGGTATGGACTCTTAAACTATGAAACCAGGTGGGGATGGCAATGCATACCTGCAATCCTGGCAATCAGGAGGCTGAGGCAGGAGGATCTTGAGTTCGAGGCCAGCTGGGTCTACATAGCAAGATCCTGCCTCAGAAACAAACAAACAAAAAACCAGAAAGATTAGACCAAAAGGTGTGTGCTAGAGAGATGAAGTGTGCAGTATAAAATGTTACCAGTTGTTGAAAGTAGATAGAGTTTTGAGTAATCACTGTATTAATCTCTCAGCTTTCCTGATGTTTTTTGTTTTGTGTATATTTTGATTTTTTTGACACAGGATCTCACTATGTAGCCCAAGCTGGCTTTGAACACTCTATCCCCATACCCAGCCAAGTGCTGGGATTGCAGATGTGTACTGCCATGCCCAGCTTTCTCTGTATTTTTAAAACTTTCTGTATGTTGGCACTCCCCTTGATGGCTGCTCAGTTTTCTTCTGTGTGCTCAAGCTAAGTCGTCTATAGAAGTCAGGCAGATAAAGCCTGACTGAAATTTACCTAATGAAATTGGAGGGTGTCCTACTCCAGAAGTAGCATTAATGAAGGATGCAATTGGAGAGTGATGGGTCCCAGTCTGCAGTTGTTCTGGGAGGTACAGACAGGACAAGCTGGTGATTGCAAACACTTACAGAGACTGAGAATAAGCCAGGTGGACACCTGACATATAGGAAGGCAAAAATTAAAAAATCAGCAAATCTTGAAATTAAAGGAAGCTCTCAAGTTGCCAAAGTACCATTTCAAAGCTTACTCACTAGACGCAAAGGTAAAAATGTATCTTTGCAGTTGAGAGAGCTGGAAGTTACCACCTTAATTAAGTGCTCAGGTTGCAGTGGCTCCTGCCAGCAATTCTAGCTACTCAGAAGGCAGAGATCAAGAGGGTGGCAATTTGAGGCCTGCCCTGGCAAATAGTTCTCAAGACCTTATCTTGAAAATAGCCAACTCATAAAAGGGCTGGGGGAGTGCCTCAAGTGGTAGAGCACCTGCCTAGCAAGCATGAGGCCCTGAGTTCAAACCCCAGTACCACCAAAAAGAAAAGTGATCAAACTTACCATCACTATAATGGGAAAACTGACATTCAGTATGCCCTGATGTGAGGAGAGATGAAATACCAATATGCCAAAAGTCTTTAACCTGAAACTAACCAAATCTCTGGCCTATAGTCGTAAATAACAAGTGAGACAAAACCAGCCAAGGCACCTTCCCTGTGATGCCTTGGACTCAGGCTCTGGAGTCTGTACCCCGGAGAAAAAAGAGACGGGAGAAAGTTCTAGACGTGAGAGACACAAACAAATGCAGCTTGATTCTAGATGGAATCCTTGTTATAAAAAGAAAAAGAGAGACAGACAATAAAAGGCACTGGGGACAGTTTTCATGTATATATTAGATGATATTAAAGGATCTTCATTTTCTCGCTGGGCATGGTGCCAGATTATAATCCTATAATTTTAGCTTCTTGGGAGACTGAGGCAGGAGGATCAGGAATTTGAGGTCAGCTGGGGCAAAGTTAACCAGGCCCTATCTCAAAAACAAAATAAAAACAAACAAAAAAAGGGGTTGGGACCATGGCTCAAAGGGTAGCACTGGGTTCAATCCCTAGTACTGCAAAGAGGAAAGAAAAAAATGTTCATTGTCTAAGGTACATGATGCTAGTGTGGCTGGTTGGGTGAATGTCTTCATCTTAGGAGATGAGTGTTAAAGTAGTAAGGGATGAGGGGCTGGTGGAGGGGCTCAAATGATAGGGTGCCTGTCTAGTAAGTGTGAGGCTCTGAGTTCAAATCCCAGTACTGCCAAAAAACAGTATTCAGGGATGAGTATCATGGTATCTGCTATTTAGTTTCTTATGGCGCAGCAAGATAAGCACATATATGATCTGTATATGTATGCATATATGTAGAAAGGTAAAGCAAAAATAGCAAAATATTATCAAATATGTAATCCAGTTGAAAGCTCACGAGTGATACTGTCCTATTCTTTCAACTCCTCTGTGTATCTGAAATTTACCAATTAAAAATTGGGAAACATTTTTGAAAATTAAATGGCAAGAAATATTTGGGCAAAGGCAATCTTTTTAAATAAAACTTTTTATAATGGAAATTCAAATATGGGCATAAGTAATGAGAAGAGCAGAACGAACCTATTGTAACCATCTGGCATCAACGGCTCTTAACTCCTGGCCACTCCAGTGGTGTTTATCCCTCACTCACTCTGTCCCTCTGTCTGGTGGCTTTTATCCCTCACTCTGTCTCTCCATCTGGTGGCTTTTATCCCTCACTCACTCTGTCTCTCCATCTGGTGGCTTTTATCCCTCACTCACTCTATACCTCCCTAGATTATTCCTTTCTGGGTTGTTTGAGACAGGCTTGTTTCTTATGTAGCCCAGGCTGGCCTCAAACTCAAGATCTTCCTGCTTCTTCCTCCTGTGTTCTGGGAGCATGGGTGTGCACCACTGTGCTCAGCTCTTCTAGATTATTTTTGAGAAAAATCTTACATCATACATCTCATCCATCAATATTTCAGTGTGTATCCTTAAAGGATAAGGACTCTTTCTATAAATAATAAAAGAAAAAAGTCATAAATAATACCATTATCACATCTAAGTCAATGAATGATTTCTTAATATAATATCAAATATCATCAGCTTTCAGGTTTCCTTGAATGCCTGTTAGGAGTTTCACTTTTTTTTAAAGGAAAATATTTTTGTAACGGATTTATTGAACTAGAATTCACATATCATAAAATCATCTAAAGTATACAACTCAATAGTCTTGTAAGTATATTCAGGCAGCCATCAGCCTCTCCTTAAAAACCATATTCTTTATCAGCAACCCTCCACTTCTCCATACTCTCAGTCTAACTTTTTTTTTTTTTTTTTTTGTGGAACTGGGGTTTGAACTCAGGGCCTTCACCTTGAGCCACTTCAGCAGCCCTTTTTTGTGATGGAGTTTTTTGTGATAAGTTCTCTCGAACTATTTGCCAGGGCTGGCTTTGAACCGTGATCCTCCTGGTCTCTGCCTCCTGAGTAGCTAGAATTACAGGCACGAGCCACTAGCTCCTGGCCTAAGACAACTTCTAATATACTTTGTCTCCATAGATGTACCTATTCCGGACATTTCCTTTAAATATCATCACATCATATGCTATATGTGGTCTTTTGTGACTAGCGTCTTTAATTTAGGATAATGTCTTTAAGGCTTATTCATGTTGTACTATGCGTCACTATTGCATTCTTTTTTTTAGCAAATAATTTTTGCCTTTATCACATGTAGTTTTGACCAACCATGGTCAAAAAAAAATTCTCATGTATGCCTCTTGTAGCTCAGTTGATGCAAAGAATCTCACTATCAGTCCCACCTTATTATCAGTTGTGTGTAAATGATGCATCCTAACTATTTGTGGGTTTTCCTCAATGGTGGTCCCTTGGAGCCATATATCTGAGGATACCAAGGTAGACTTTTTAAAAACAGCATTGGTTGGTTTAATCAGGTTCCAGATAAAGTCTCCTTGTTGCATTGATGATCCATGTGTCACTTTGTCATTTATTTCCTCTGTTCTTTCTTTCCCTTCCTTCCTTCCTCCTTCATTTCCTCCCTCCTTCCTCCTTCTCTCCCTCCTTCTTTCTTTCCTTCCTTCCCTTCCTCCCTCTTTCCTTCTTTCGTCCTTCTTTCTTTCCCTCCTTCCCTTCCTGCCTCCTCCCTCCCTCCCTCTTTGGTCCTTCCTTCTTCCTTCCTCCCTCCCTTCTTTCCTTTCTTCCTTGCTTGTTTCCTTCCTTCCTTCCTTCTGTCTTCCTCCCTCCTTCCTCTCCCTTCCCCCTTCACTCCCTTCCTGCCTCCCTCTTTGTTCTTTCCTCCCTCCTTCCTTCCTTTCTTCCTTCCTTCCTCTGCACTTGACCCCACTGATGACCAGACGTAGAGGCTCAAACATGCGATGAGCAGGGACCAGCACTGAATTTCTGCTTGTCTTTCTTTGTGTTGTTGGTAACCATGGGAACTCATTACCTAGATCCATTATTCCAGACAAACTTATTCTATAAAGGACCAGGCAGGAGATATTTTAGACTTTGCAGGACATATGGTCAGTCTCTGGAACAACTGCTCAGCTCTTCTGTTGTAGCCTGGGAAACAGCCATAGACAATATGCCAAAAACAACCATCACTATGTTCCAATGAAACTTTATTTACAGAAATAGGCAGCGCCCTATTTTTGTATGCTCTATCCTAGTACATAGAGTTTCAGAAAACAAATGGGCTGGGAATGTGGCTCAAAGTGTGGAGTGCCTGTCTAGCAAGCATGAGGCCCTGAATTCACACCCTAGTACTACTCCCCCCTCCCATTCTTTTAATTAAAAAATGTTTTAAAAGGAAGCAAATGCTAATACTGATTCAAACAATATGATACTGAAAACTGCTTAAGAGTTCCTTGCCTATGTTTTTGTCTTTAGGAGATATTGTACTGAAAAATTTGGACAAATGACTATGTTCTAGTCACATGAAATAGGTCCTTTGTGTGTGGCAAGGCCACCAACTCCATGGATAAGATCATTTGTTTCATTTTGCTTTTTAGATTTTAGGGATAGCCCCCCTGCATTTTAGCCTACAATTCTGAGAAAAACTTAGATGGTTCCAAAGTCAAGTATACAAAACAAGGTATATTTAGAGAAGTCTAGCTTCTGTCTGTGTCTCTCCATAGTCCCTGTTTCAGATCAATCCACATGGAAACCCTACTTACAGGTAACTATTTTCCAAAATACTGTTTTAATCTCCCATTTTAAAAAAGTATAGCCAAAAACTTTAAAAAAAATAAAAAGTACAAGCAAATAGATGGCATGTACATATAGTATTTTTCAGTACCTCCTTTCTGAAATGAATGGTAGCCTGTAATTCATCCACTTTTCTCTATCCACTTTTCTTTTTTATTGTGGTCCTGGGATTTGAACTCAGGACCTTGCACTTGCCAAGCAGATCCTACCACTTGAACCACGCCTCTAGCCCTCTCACTGTTCTTGTTTAATGTAACATTGTATTCTGGAGATGACTCCCCACTTGGATATAGAAAAACTCTGCCTTCCTTTCTACAGCTCATGGTACTCCATTGTGTGGATGTGCCAGAGTTTATTCACCAGTTCTTGAGTCATGTTGCTTATTCCCATTTGAGTACAGATAATTTGAAATCACAGGGCAACAAACTCAGACAAACAAAGAGCTTTGTAAACCAGCCAAGTTTTAACATAATAGTTTATAATCTTCCCATGGCTTGCAGGCGAAGGAAAAGAAATGAGATGACCCCAGATTGCAGCCGACAGTCACGCGATAAGAAAAACAAGCTGCAGGACAGAGCTGGACTAAGGAAAGCACAGTCACTGGTGAGTCCAGCTTATCCAACGTCCACCACTGTTATGTTATGGAAATTGCCATGTTTTAAGTCAAGATCATTGAGTGCTTCTTTAAATGTTGTTCTCTGACCTTGACCTTCCGACTTTGAAACTGTATGGCCTTGAAGATGCTCTGAGTCTCTGTTTCCTTATCTGCTGCTGTAAAAGAGAGACTGAATGAGCTGTCATGTATAAAATTGCACAATATAGAGGGTGTCGTCTTCTCCTTCGTTCTTTCTTCTGCTGAGTCCTCTAAGATAGGGACAGGGGCCACTGCCTCTCTCCAGAGTGCAGGGTCCCCAGACCTGAGGGCCAGGCGAGCTTCCTGTAGTTCTCTTGCTGCCAGTGGAACATGAGTGTAAAAGTGAATTTAAAGTGATTCCAGAAAGAAATAAATTAAGAACCTTTCTTTCTCTAATTAAAAAACAGCTAATTACTACCTAATAAAGTCAGTAATAGTGACTAGGGAGTATTATTATTTCAGAGCACAGCTTCCCAAGTTGTGATTCTGAATCCCACCAGATCCCTTTTAGCTTGTCAGGAGAGTTTTTGGAGCAAAATAGAAGGAAATATGGGTGGAATGGAAACTTTATATATTGTAGTAAAGATTTAGAGAAAAACTTGGGATACACACTTGGCAAATTAATATAAAATGGATGTCAATTGGGAGAACAGTGTGCATGTACTCATGAATAAATCACTTCTGCAGCTGTGCTTGAAAGTCTTACTACTTTCTGCTTAAATGTATTTTCAAGTGTTATATTAAAAAAACAAAAGTCAGATGCTGACTCATGCCTGTAATCTTAGCTGCTTGGGAGGCTGAGCTTAGGAGGATGATAGTTCAAGGCCAGTCCAGGCAAATAGTTCACAAGACACTATCTCCAAAATAACCAAAGCAAAGTGGACTGGAGGTGTGGCTCGAGTGTAGAGTGCCCGCTTTGCCAAGTGTGTAAGCCCTGAGTTCAAACCCAGTTCCACCAAAAAATTAAAAAATGAGACAGCTAGAGATGAGTTTCTTAAAATAAGCCACCTGTACTCTGAAGGGCCACTTTTGTTGGACTGGTGGAGACTTTTTATAGACATGTGTACAGATACCTAAACAAAGTAGTAAAATTGTCGGGGTAACTGTTCATTGTAAAAAATAGCTTTACGCGGCTTATCACGTGAGCCATTATGAAGGGCTTCTGCTGGATTCTACCCCTGCTAGGCAAGGTATAGAAAAATTGAAGAATAATAAAAGATGAAGAATAATAAAAGAAAAATAAAACATATGCTTATAAAATATCAGTATAATCAAACATTCCTCTTGCTTAAAAACCACAAGAACCAAAGGTTACCCAGGAGCAGTCCTTGTGGGCTTTTGACATTAACCATCTGTGAGACATAGCAGAAACTGCCTACGTTAAAATATTCAATGTAAATTAAAAAGTGAAAATGTGCTAATTAAGGCTGAAACCAGGGTAAATTAAACAATGATGGGGAACAATTAGCTATTAGTAAATAAAGCACGAGATCATAGCTATCTACCTTTATCTTTTTTTGTAAATATACTTATTACAATTACTCTGAGTGTGTCATCATTTTGATAAAAAGCATAAGGTATACTTAAATCCCCACACCACAGAAGCATGCTCTGATCTTTGAATTCATGCCTGCCATATATTTGCCTGTGACAGGCCTGGCTGTGTTGGCTGCCAGGCTGTGTGTGGCTCAGGTCCCCTCTCCACAGGGTGGCAGTTTGCACTATAGGCCGCAGACCTCAGAGGAAACAAGTGCTTAGGTGATGCAAGATGGTTGTGAAAGTGAAGACATGCTGGGTGTGAGGTCCTGAGAGGAAAGTCCATCAAGCGTGCTGAAGAGGACAGGGAGTGAGACTTCTGACAGTGCAGCCCTAGAGGTGACTTGTCAGGTAGACACAGCCCAGGTGTGAATCCAATGGAGAAACTTGTGAGTTCATCTCATAGAAAACTCACACATCATCCTGACAGGTTTATTGGGGAAGATTTCAGGAGGAACAAGAGAAACAGGTAAGCAGGTGAAACTTGTCAGTGCTAATGTGCAGATGAAAGTGACCATGTCCTCAAGCCCATGAACAGAAGACTGGAGCACTTGAAGGATCTGTGCTCCTATCCTGGGAAAAGGGGGTGTGTGATAGTTGGAGAAGCTTTGTCAAATGGAAAGATCTGGAAGAGAAGAAAACACAGAGGTATAAAAGATCATTTCTTAGGCCACCTCCCCAGGCTGTGGCTATCAGGTGGAGGAGAGACCATCTTCCCTTTCTATCAGTAGTTAGAGTCCCCAGAGGGGCATTTCTAAGAGGAGAACTGTCCTCAGGTAGATGATTTCAAATGTGTACATACTGCTGGGAGCCTGCATGGCTCCTTTAATAGGTGTGAGTTTCAAACTCAGGTCCCCAAAGCCTGCCTGAGTTCTACTGGCTTCATTTAACCAGTTTTTGTTATGAACAATTTGTCTAATTGTTAATGCTTTGTGATTTCTAAGACTTCTTATGAAATGTTTATAAATATCAAGAAATCCCAGTCCAATGCAGTGGTTCATGCCTGTAATCCTAGTTTCTGAGGAGGTGGAGACTGGAAGGGTCTTCGTTTGTAGCCAGCCTGGGCAAAAAGTTAGCGAGACTCTCATCTCAACAAATTAAAAAAGAAACTGGGCATAGCAGTATGTGCCTGTCATTCCAGCTGTGTGGGATCAAGGTCCACACTGGCCTGAACAAAAACTCGAGACCTTATTCAATGATGGAGGGGGTGAACTCAGCTATGATATATTTGGTATATTGTAAGAATTTTTGTAATTGCCACAATGTACCCTAACACAACTATAAAAATTTAAAAATAAAATACAAATAGTACTACAAAAAAAACAAAAAACAAACAAACAAACAAAAAAAAACCTAAGCTAAAGGACTGAGGGCATAGCTCAACCAGTAGAGTGCCTGCCCTGAGTTCGAACCCCAGTACCACCAAAAAAAGAAAAAAAAGTCCCTATTATATAATAGTAAACAGAGCAATACCAAACAGAGCAATTTCAGGTACCATCTTCTTTAAACTTCAAAGATTTTCAACCTGTATAAACACACATCACATTTTTTGTTAACATCTTAACAGGTGGTCCGCTGAGGGAAGGAGGGAGCTGTCTCTTTGGGGGAAGGCTTTGATGAACTTGTGGGACGGATGAGATCCTGGGGGCACAATGTTAGCAAGCACCAAGACTCCAAGGGAGGAGCAACATGCCTTGCTTGAGATCAGGGGGAGAACTTGTAGATTATTGTTTCTGCTCCTGGAAGAGAGGGAAGGAGGAGAGGGAGTGGGGAGGAAGAAAAAAGTGGGGAGGAAAGAGAGAAGAGAAAGACAGAAGGAGGGAGGTTGAGATAAGGGGGGGTAGGGACCATGACAGCAATGACACCAGCCATTCCAATGGAATTTGTTTGCTGTCACTGGGATGTGAACCTTCCATTGCCATTGTGAGTTCTATTCCATTTACACATGTAGCAAGATCTTAGAAGCACAGAAGCCCATGAAAATGAAAAACCCTTGGACTTTGGCTCTCCTGAGCCCGGAATTTGACCAGGAGATCCCAGCTGACATCTTGTTTCACTGTTTTCTTTCTGCCACACGAAGGACAAAACCCATAGCTATGGTCCCATGCTGGACTTTTACTTAAGAACCAGAGGTCCTCACTTCCTAGGTCCCAACTGAGCCATGGAGTTCAAATGCTGGCTGTTGCAAAGCACACACCTCTACCAGAGGAACAAGAGACTTTAATGTCTGCTTAGTCTAATTGCCTCAGATAAGACATCCTTTCCCCGGCACTGCTAATTCTAGCCTCTGAAATTACCTGTTTCACCTCTCTCCAGGATCATGTTACCCTTAGTGTCCTGATTTTTTTTAAACGCTTCTTTAAGCTTTCTTACTCTTTTTTCCTGGCTGGTTCAGAGAAAAAAGTGATTCTGTGAGAAGAATCAGGAAACCCAGGTTCCAGTTCCGACCATCACTGGCAGTCACTTACCCTCCTACAATTCTGTTCCCCTTTGTAAAATGAAAGTTCCAGTGGGTGGTTTGCATCTGTTATCCTAGCTACTCAGGAGGCAGAGATCAGAAATATTTTGGTTCAAAGCCAGACCAGGCAAATAGTTCATGAGACCCTATCTTGAAAATACCCAACACAAAATCAGGACTAGAGAAGTGGCTCAAGTGGTAAAGGGCCTGCTTAGCAAGCATGAGGCTCTGAGTTCAAGCCCCAGTACTGCCAAGTTAAAAAAAAAAAAATGACAGTTCCAATGACAACACCCGTTGAGTCCATTCCAGACCAAAGGCTAGACCTATGGGGCTCCTAGGTTTGGACTGTGTTCCTCCTCTCTCCCTTTTCCTGGAGGACCTGGCTGTGACTGAAGTGACTTTACATAGAAAACCAAACATAGTCCACATTACATTGGTGAATCCTAATTTTAAACCACTAACAGTTGGTCCAAAAACAGAGCTAAAGGCGATCACCTTGCAGGCAGTCTTCAAATTCTGATGAACCTCTCACCTGTTTGTTTTATAATGTCTGTTTAGTTTGGATGTGCAGAGCTACAAATATCTGTAGGAGAGATTTTAAATTATTTCATCAACCAATAAAACTCCTGGGAGCTCCATTTGGAAGGAAGACTAAGAAAGTATATGGGCTTTACATTCAGATAGCCCTGGGTTCTTTTACTAAGTGGAGTGACTTTTGACAAGTTACTTAGCCTCTCTGAGCCTCAGTTTCTACATCTATAAAATGGAATAATGATACCTGCCTTGCAGGATTGTCATCAGGCTATCATTTATATATTAAGTATTTAATACCTGTTTGTGTTCTCCCCCATTAAATACCACCATTAGAAACAATTACAACAAAATTTGCTACCAAAGACATAGATCGAGTCTCAAATAGCCTAGGTTCAGTGCTAAGCACTAATACTTCAGCAGTTGGAGATTTAGGTCAGAGAT